ATGGCCGATTGCTTCTGCTAAGGCTCATAAGCGCATATAACCGCGCAGGCAAGTAGTGTGTGTATATGCGCAGGTACACGCACGCACTCATATTAACACATAAATGTAAACACGCCCGCGTACATTTGCGTATAAGCGTGTATGTTTATATACGTTACATGATATACATACGCATATCATGTACATGTTCACATGATATATACGCATAATGCTTCTAATATTGCCGACCGCTCAGGTGCCATGGTCGAAATGCCACCCTTGCCGCCGAGCGGCCAGGGGCGGAATGCCGCGGCGCAACTGCGCGCTTCCGAAGTTGCGAATCGCAGCTCCTCGCTCCGCCTCCAGCGAGTTCTGCGGCGTTGTCGATGGGCGCGCGCGCCGATGGGCCGCGGCGGCGCGGCTGGGTTTGGCCGCGGGGCAGAGCCGTTGCCAGTTGTCGCCCGACAGGGCACGGGTTGCCCAGTCGTTTGCGCGCTGCCCTCTCTTGTCAAGCCGCGCGCGCCAGCGCGTCGTTCGCCCGCGCGGCGCGCGACGCCGTCGGGGCAGCGGCCCCGTTCAGCCGCGCCTGGGCGAAGGACTTAAGTCTGTGCCCCGTTGCTTGCCGCCGGGGTTTCCCGCGCGAGCCCGTCGGCCAGCGCACCGCGCGGCGCGCCGCAGCCAGGGCGCGCGGGGCCGCCGTGATACGAGGCCGTCGCGGGCAATGTCGGCGGGCGCGCCGCACGTTGCGAGCCCGCAGCCTACGCCGCGCAGCCCCTGGACCATCGTTCCGCATGGGGCGCGCGGCGAGCGGTGTCGGCTGGGGCGCGGCGCCGCTGGGCTGCCACGGCGCGCGGGCGCACGAGTGTGGCCGCTCGCCAGTGCGCAGGTATTTGCTCGCTGTCCCGTAAGTGCCAGCGCGCCGCTAAGCCGCGCCGTCATCGATCGCCATTCCTCGCGCGCTTCTCCCTTATGTAGGTTCCCCGCGCGGCCATCGTCTGCCCGAGACTTCGCCGCGTCGCGCGGGCAGACGCGACGTCGCGGCCTCGGGGGCCGCCGTTCGTGCCACGGAACCAGACAGACGTCGCCGACGTAGCGTGAAACATGCAATTCCCAAAACACCGACACTAAAAAAATAGTATGTTTCCGAGGGCTATGCCAACTCAGTGAAAAAGTATTTTTGTAGTATTTTCATAGATATAGCATTTCCATGCCTGTAGGGGGACGCAAACGTCTCGGTCCTGGAGTGTATCCTGAGCCAATCTTAGCATGACATCACTCTCGCCCGAAGGATCGCCCCCCCCACACCGCGGGTCCGTGGGGGGCGAGGGGGGCACATGTTGTCGGACGGGTGTGGGGGGTGGGGGGTGGGGAAGGAGGAGGAGGAGGAGGAGGAGGAGGAGGAGGAGGAGGAGGAGGAGGAGGAGGAGGAGGAGGGGAGGGAGAGAGGAGGAGGAGAGGAGGAGGAGGGGGGGAGGGGGGGGGAATGTGGAGGAGGGGGAAGAGGAGGAGGAAGGAGGAGGGAGGAGGAGGAGGAGGAGGTAGGAGAGGAGGAAGGAGGAAGGAGGAGGAGAGGAGGGGAGGAGGAGGAGGAGGAGGAGGAGGAGGAGGAGGGGAGGGGAGGGGGAGGGAAGGGGGGGAGGAGGAGGAGAGGTGGGAGGAGGAGGAGGAGAGAGAGGAGGAGGAGGAGGAGGAGAGGAGGAGGAGGAGGAGGAGGAGGAGGAGGAGGAGGGGAGGGGAGGGGGAGGGGGAGTGGGGAGGGGGGGAGAGGGGAGGCGGCGGGGCGGTGGGGAGTGGTGGGCCGACTCCGTCGGGAGGTCAATCACCTCCCCACCCCCCAGTAGGTTCGTGTCGTGTCGTCGCGGCTTGATCCATTCGGGAGCCCCCAAACGGGGTGGTGACCACACCGTGCGGTGAGTCGGTGGGGGTTCGGGGTCACCGCACGGTTTTGGGACTCGGGTCGTTCTCCAAGGATGTCTCGGGTGACTGGGGCATCCGAGGTCCCAAAATCGTGCGTTGACGGACCGTGCGGTGAGGTCTTGGGGGATCTCGAGGTCACCGCACGGTCTGTCACCGCACCGTTTCGGAACTCCAGATCAACACACCATCCAGAGTGCGGTAGGCTCGTGTCGTGTCGTCGCGGCGGCGACCCCAGCGTGGGTGTTCAAGGATTAACGTTCGCCGGTGGCCAGGAATCTGCCGATACCCGACGGCCCGCGCTATCGGAACGCTCGATCGCTCAAGGTCGAGCGACCCGCATGGAGTCAGAAACCAACGCGGAACTCGCCACGACGCGAACCGACCTTACGGAACGAGCAGGGAGGAGGACCCACGGCAGTGCTGGCCCATCCTGAATCTAGGACTCGCCGTCGACGCAGAGACAAAAAAGTCGCCTGCTCAGCAGCGGCCGCTGTCGACTTTGAACAGCATTTGATGATTGGTATCCGGCCCGTCTTTTCCGTAATTGCCCACTTCGGATGCGCCAGGCCTGCGAGCGGGCTTTGCTCGGAGTGCGTTTTTCCTGGGCGCGGGCGACGCGGCGTGCGCCGCAAGCGACCGGGCCCTTTCCTGGAGTGTGAGCAGCCCGGAAGCGGCGCCGGCCAGCGGCGAGGTGCACCGGAAGAGCGCGGGGCACGCCGGGAGGGGGCCGCCCGGCAGCCACGCTGGCAGCACAGGCTGCGCCGCACGAGAGCGGTCATGCCCGCGAGCCCGAGGGGGGCAGCGAGAGTCCCCGAGCACGTTCCACTACTCGCAAAGTGCCTACTCGCAAACGTCCGAAAAAAACACATGTCTGCTTCGATGCAATGTAGCGTGGATCCCCCGCGGGGGGATCCAGGCCGTTCGCGAGTCGTCACCTCGCGAGTAGTGGAGCGCGCTCGTCGAGAGAGGGGCGCAGCGAGAGGCTCTTTGTTCAGAAGGCGGCGGGGCTGCTCAGAAGCCCGCGGGCCTTCTGAGGACAGAGCCTGTTTTTTTTTAGACTCTGGCAAGTTTACTTGCATGGACGGGGGGGGGGGGCTGAGCCTGAAGCAAGCCGCAAACGACTTGCACGTTCGGGGGGGCGCGGAAATCACGCAAGTCGAAAGGCACTTGCACGCTAGTATTCGCTTGAAGAGGGGCGAGGGGGGGGGGGGCGAACGCCATGCAAGTAACTTGCCTGAATCCGAAAAAAAACAGGCTCATGTGAAACAGTGAGAAACCGCCCAGCCGAGGTCGGTCAGGGGGAAAACGCCAGGTGGTCGTGTTTTTTTAGCATCGCCTTGCCGATAGGCGCGGGCCCTCCCCCGCGCAGCCTCCCCCCCCCCCCCCGCCCCCCCCCCCCTCACGGAGAAGGTCTTGGCTGTTTGGGGCGCCTGTTTCGAGCAGGTGGAGCCCCTCCCCCATGAGACGCGCTGCTGCAGACAGACGCTGCTAAGCAGAGGTCCGGAGCGAGACACCGTCTCTTCCCCGCCCTCTCCGCTCGGGGGTGGACAGACCTCCTACCCTGACACGTCGATTGAGGAATTGGCCGTTTTCGGTTCGCGAGAGGGCGTCGCGGCCGTCATTTTTGCAGGTGCAGGTCCGTCAAGTTCGGTCCCGGGCCGTTTTCACTAAGGGGAGGTCTACTAAAGGGAGGTTTGTCCACCGCCGATCCGCCCAATGGCGAAGCGCAGAGAAAAAAAAACGCTCACCGATCTATCGGCGAGGTAGGTCCGAGTCCAGGTCGATGTGTGGGCTGGCCTCCTCCTGACGCTGCCCCGCAGGGGGGCCTGAGTCCACTCGTGACCTGCCCCCCCCCCCCCCCCAGGGCCTCCCAGTCGTGAGATCCTCTCGGTTCGCGAGGGATACTCCAGATTTCGTAATAAAAGGGAGGGGGTCTCATTTCGGGGGGGGTCTCTTCCAGGCCATCTTGGAGGGCTTGGGGGGGTCTGGGGACCATGTTTTGGAGGGTTCTCCCACGGGGGGGGTCTGAAATGGCTTGTCTTGGAGGGTCCAGACCCCCTCCCTTTTATTACGAAATCTGGAGTAAGAATTACTGATTACACACGCGCGTCGTCTTTCAAACTGAGCGTGTGAACGGGCCAAGGATCTCAAGAGCACGGGCCAGGGATCTCAGAGCAAGAGGAAAACATCTTCGTCGTCATCGTCGACTTGCCAGGACAAATCGATTTTTATCCCCCCTGGACCCCGAGCTTTAATTCCCCCCCGGTGTTCTTAAAAAGGGTAGTTTGGTGATTCATACGCTTGCTGTTGTCCAATAACTTTGTACTGTTGCTGCTGCAGCAGTGCCGCGCTGATAGGGGTCGTCCGACTTGCGTGGCATTGATGTCCCCTCGCTTTCCGGAGCAGAGTTGGGCGAGGCTTGACGCACGGGGCGGGTGAGCGCACGAGGGTTGCCTCGTCTCCTCATCTTTCCACTCGTCTTTCTCTTCATCCACCTCGCCCCTGTTCCCCTACAGGCTTGTGTGTGCACGCACATGCGTGGAGGGGGTCTCTATGATTCTGGGCCACTGGATGACAATCATTTTCTGCGTTATCATGGGAAGTAGAGATGTAGGCATCCATATTGGCCCACGGATGTGTGCCACACTGGAGGCCCATGCCAAGAAACACTCTGCTTGCCTCCAGGGTGCCGTGGGGTTCTTGGGTTTCTATGGTCTTGCTTTGGAAAGCGTGACGTTCCCACGCCAACAATTAGTGTACGTCCTGGGGGTCCAGGGTTGTTTTTTTGAGGAAGGCGTCTTGTGGACTGGCCTCCACTGTATTACGTGACTTCTCCTCCACCTCACCCTCGCCGCAGAAACTGCGGCCGCCAAGGGGGGGGGTTCGGCGGCGAGCCCAGGGGGGAAGTGAGAAGGAGAAGGACTTCTCAGAAGGCTCGGAAGTCCCCCGGCCTTCTGAGCAGTGTTTGAAGCCTTCCCCGAAGACACAAAAAACCTCTCGGAAGGCGCGAGGGCTTCTGAGAAGTCCTGCCGCCTTCTGAGAAGGCCTTCTCCTTCTCACTTCCCCCCCTCGCTCGCCGCTGGAAGGGGGTCGGGGAGCGCGAGGTCGTCCTCGACGCCACCAAGACGGCGGTGCGTTTCCGACAAGACGAGGCCGCCCGGGGGCCCTTGCAGGCTCGAGGACCGAGGGGCGAGGCTGCTCGGGGTGGGCGGGGCTGAGGACCACCGTATATCGTCGTCACGGCGACATGCTCACACCATGTGTGCGTGGCCCCCCCCCCTCCTCCTCCTCCTCCTCCTGCTCCTCCTCCTCCTCCTCCTCCTCCTTCTCCTCCTCCTCCGCCCTCCTCCGCCTCCGCCTCCTCCGCCCTCCTCCTCCTCTCCCCTCCTCCTCCTCTACTCCTCCCTCCTCCTCCTCCTCCCTCTCCCTCCTCCTCCTCCTCCTCCTCCTCCTCCCCCCAGGGGGGTCGCGCGCGCCGAGAGATCGGGGTTCTGTTGGGGGCACTTCGGGGCTCCGTCGGGCCTGCGAGGGCCCGGGCTGGAGGGCATGGGGGGGCCCTCTTGGGCCAGCCTTGGGCCGTCGTGGACGGCCTCGAGCTCGGTCGGCGGGGCCATCTGGGCCCGTCTCTTGGGCCTCTGGGCCCGGCTGGGGGGTTCTCAGGAGCCCCGTGCACCTTCTTTGGAGGCACTTGGAGACTGTTTTTGTTAGGTCGGGCGATAACCCGGGTTATCGGGCTTGCCCCCCATCCCCCCCCCCAGGATCACTTACTTTTGCTGGTTGTGCAGGTCCGCGGGAGGGGGGGCGCGGGCATATGCAGGGCTGCCCACAGCGCGAGGGTTAGGTTATCGGCCGGCCCCCTCCTCCCCCCCCCGGGATAACCCGGGTTATCGCCGATTGAAAAAAAGGTCTCTTGGAGCTCGTATGGGAGCCACTTGCGTCGGAAAAGAAGGGACGCAACCCGTGCAAGAGACCAACTTGCACAGGGGGCACTTTCCGTTTCTCGTCTTGGAGTTTTTTGGGGCGCGCTGGGTGATCCTCGAGGTTTCGTGGGCGTCGTTGCAAGGCATGCTGGGGAAGAAGGCTGGGGGGGTGAGACCTGAGACATGGTCAGGGGGGGTTCCACGGGGTAGGGTGGCACGGTCGTTCGCGTGGTCGCATGGTCGGAGTAATCCTTTGGGTGGTCAGTCCGTGCGCCGGGGTGGACATGTGATCATCACACAGCATGATCATCAGGTGCGCCGACTTGGGCGCACGGATTCATCGGTCAGCGGGTTCGCAGACGGCCCCCCGGTTTGGCGGTTCCCAGCGCATTTGGGCTATGCATATCGGCCATTCTTCTTGTGCTCGTGTCTCCTTCTCTTCCTGCTCCTGCCTCCAACTCAGCAGCACGTTCCATAACTTGATGCGAGAACCCCCGCATGAAATGATCCCGTTTGGCACCAGTTCCTACGGTAGACATTTGCGTTCTGTATGATTGTCAGTTTTCCTATGAGTTCAGATGAGGCAGCCAAACCAATCCTTTCTGGACCTGCGTGCGTGCGGTGGACATGCGTGCTTCCCTGGCCGAGGTGCATCAAGTGCAACGTCATGCCTTGGGGACCCAGCGAGTTCACCCGAGCCCTGGAACGGTTACCTCTGCTAATGTTGTGTTCGCCTGCGCCCGCTGTGGGGCTCACGCGTTTCGCAGCGTTCTGATCATCACCTGCCAGTGCAGGCCACCATCACGGCTGCAGGGAAACCATTCCGCGACAAGCTCGCAGAGGCGGGGCGACGAGCTTTGTATTTTGATATGGACGTACAGATATACACACATACATATATACATTGCCCCAGGCAGAGGCGCATCTTGGGCACCGTGGCGATGCATACACCTTTCCTGGGCAGAGGATGGGCTCGGCCAGGGGCAGTGGAGGAGGCAGAGGAGGAGGAGGAGGAGGAGGAGGAGGAGGAGGAGGAGGAGGAGGAGGGAGGGGGGAGGGGGGGAGGAGGAGGAGGAGGAGGAGGAGGAGGAGGAGGAGGAGGAGGAGGAGGAGGAGGAGGAGGAGGAGGAGGAGGAGAGGAGGAGGAGGAGGAGGGAGGAGGAGGAGGAGGGAGGAGGAGGAGGAGGGGGAGGAGGAGGAGGAGGAGGAGGAGGAGGAGGAGGAGGAGGGGAGGAGGAGGAGGAGGAGGAGGAGGAGGAGGAGGAGGAGGAGGAGGAGGAGGAGGAGGAGGAGGAGGAGGAGGAGGAGGGAGGAGGGGGAGGAGTTAGTGTCTGCCTCCATTCAAAAAGTAGCCCGGAGAAGCTCGTGGGGCCCGCGCGGCCGCGTTCGCTCGGCTCTCCGCGCGCAGGCGCCGCCCAGCCGTGCCCTCTCCCCGGGGGACGGCCCGCGCGCTCGCTCCGTCGCTCGGAAAGGGCCCCCGCGGCGGTGTGGCGACCACGCCGCGCGGCGATTCGGCGGGGCCTCGGGGCCGCCGCACGGTTTTGGACAGCCGTGCGAAGCCCAGTTGCGGAGGAAGGAAGGAAGAGGAGGAAGGAGGAGGGAGGAGGAAGGAGGGGAGCGGAGGAAGAGGAGGAGGAGGGAAGCCCCGTGAGGAGCCCAGCGGGGAAGAGAGGGGGGGCCGGAAGGGGAGGGGGGAGGAGATGGGCCACGGGCGCCGACGCGCCAGGCGGCCAGCGGCCGCGCGCAGCGAGGGCGCGCGCAGCCCGGCGCCCGAGCAGTCGGGTGCGCATGGGGTCACCGCACGGTCTCTGGGGACTCGGGTCGCGCTCCGGGGACGCCTCGTACGCCCCGGGGTGCTCCCAGGGTCCCAGGGCCGTGCGGCGGCGGGCCGTGCGGCGAGGCCTCGGGGGAGGTTTCGAAGACACCGCACGGTCCGTCACCGCACCGCTGCGGGACTCGGAAGTCGGTCGGGGGCGGCGAGGGGTCGAAGGAGAAGAGACACCATGAACATAAACGTTGGGCGCTCCGCGCGGGTTCCTTGGATCCTCGCCGGGGCTCCCCCGGCGGCGCCTCCAGCGCCGCCTCTGGCGCGCTCCGCGCGCCGGGGAGGGGGGTCCAGCGCAGATCCAAGAATCCGCGTGGAGCGCCGAAAATTTATGTTTTTTCGGTTTCTTCTTGTTCTGAAGAGGGGGGTGAGGACCAAGGGGGCGGATATCATGGCGGAGGCCATGATATCTCCCCGGGTCTCATGGTGCCTCTTCTTATTCCAATGCGTGCCCTGGCCCCCCCCCCTGGTCCGCGCACATGCTGCCGGCCATGATATGCGCCCCCCCCTTAGCGTCAAGGCATGTGGCGATGCCCTGGCGACTGAACAAGAAGCGTGTCCGACACTCATAGCCACGCGCGACACAGCAGAAGTGTGGAAGGCACTTGCAAGAACCGAAAGGGCGAGAAGTCAGAGAATAGCAGACCAGCTCTGGTGGACACGAAATAACGTAGCCGTCACATGAGGGGAAGCCTTTCTCCTTCTCCTTGACGATGGCAAGGTGGAGAAGACCAAGAGGCTCCTGCACACCATGGCCCGGGAGCCGGAGGCGCCCGCCTCGGCGACGGCCAGCAGGAGAGGCTGGAAGAGCGCCCCTCCCCCATACAGTCGGGGCCCTGAGGAAGGAACCCTTTTCGTTGGGGAGGGGCTCCGCGTTCCTTAAGTGTTTCACAGCTTGCCTCAGGCTTTCCTTATGTTTTCGACCGGAAATCGAAGGTTACGTATAGGAAACAAGGGGCCTCGTTCCTTATTCAGGGTTCCTTAGGTCAACGCCCGACTGTACTCCTCAGTGCCGTTCCTCCTCCGCCGTGCTCCCCGCTCTCCCCGCCACCCCCTCCTCGTCCCGCGCCCCTCCGCCGCTGCGTCCTTCCTCTGGCCCTCGCCCGTTCGCCCCTCTGTCGGGCCCCTCGCCCGGTCCCGTGGCTGCCCGGGGAGAGTCGGCGCGTGACCCCAGCCCACGTCCAAAGACCATGACTCTCCTCGTCCCCTTCACCCCACTCATCCTTCCATCCTCCTTTCCCCCTGCGCGTCCCCCTCGCTCGTCTGGCCGCTTCCCGCGCGAGGAGAGGGGGAGGGAGGGGGGGGGGGAAGCGGGCTCCCGCCCCTGCTCTCCCGCCTGCCCGCGGCTCTTTCTCCTGCTCCCTCCGTGCTTCTCTCCCCCCTGCCCCCTCCCGCCCGCCCCGATCCCCTTTAGGGGCTCTCTTGGATCGTCTTGACGCCATTCGAGGTTCGTGGTGGGGACGTGGACCAGGGCACTTCGCTCCAGCTTCTTTGTTACCCGATCCCTCCTCTTCCGGCTGCCGGTTAAACAGCAACAGAAAGTTGAAAGTTGGAAGTCGGGGAGAGGGGTGGTCGCACCACCCTCCTGGCGCCGGTGGCCGACGACGACAAGCAGGACGACAGCGATGACGACGACCACGACGACGACGACGACGACGACGACGACGACGACAACGACTTCGACAACGACGACGACGACGACGATGACTATGACGACGACGACGACGAGGTGACCCGACCGATTCGGCCACCACGTCGACGACGACGAAGTGTCCCGCCCACCCGGCCGACTGACCGGCTCGCCGCCGACGCCGACGACAACGACGACGGCGACAACGACGACGACGACGGGGGCGGCGGCGGTGGCGGCGGCGGCGGCGACGGCGCTGGCGCTGGCGACGGCGACGGCGATGGCGACGGCGCCTAGCGCCGACGGCGAGGACGAAGACGACTACGACGACGTTGACGACGACGACGACGACGTGTCACGCCCGCTCACCCGCACGACTCGTCCACGACGATGTGTCCCACCCGACCGACCGACTTGCCCTCGACGACGTCATCGACGACGACGACGACGGCGACGGCGGTGGCGACGGCGACGACGCTCACCGTGACAGAAGTCCTCTCCCCCCCCCAGCGACGCACCACGACAACGGCAGCAGCGTGTCGTCGTCGTCGTTTGCTGGCGAGGTGGGACGCAGCTTCTCAAACTCCTTGAGACTGGCGGCCGGCGCTGACGACGACGACGACGACGACGGCAGCGTCTCTTTCGCGCCGACGGGTCGGCGGTTTTACCTTTGCGATTCAATCGCTTGGCTTGCATTTGCTCAACGGCCGTTGCGCCTCGTCACGGCGTGCTTTGACATAGTATGGCGTGCCCTTCGAAATTCTTTACGCTTCGCGTATCCCCACCAGCCCATCTCAAAACAGTCGTGTTTTCAGTCGTGTTTTTCAGGCGTGTTTCCGCCTGCCCCCGCATATCTCCCCTGTTCCTCCTTCCTCCCGCCTCCTTGACATCCTCCTTGTGGTGGGAGCGGGAGAAGGACGAGGCGGAGGAGGAGGGAGAGAAAGCGCTCCTCGTGGTTTGAGTCGTTTGGGGTTTCTTGTCCTGGTGTGAGTCGTTCGGGCCCTTCTTCCTGGTGTGAATCGTTCGGGCTCTTCGTGATGTGAGTCGTTCGGGCTCTTCGTCCTGGTGTGAGTCGTTCGGGCTTCTCGTGGTGTGAGTTGTTCGGGCCCCTCGTCGTCGTGTGAGTCGTTCGGGCCCCTCCTCCTGGTGTGACTCGTTCGGGCTCCTCGTGGTGTGAGTCGTTCGGGGCCCTCGTCGTGGTGTGAGTCGTTTTGGGAGCCTCTTGGAGGCCTTTTGGGGCGTCTTCGGGGCCTCTTGGCGGCCCCAGGGGCTTCTAGGAGCGTCTTGGGTGCCTTGGGGGAGCCTCTTCGGGCCTCTTGGGAGCCTCTTGGAGGCCGTTTGGGGCGTCTTGGGGGCCTCTTGGCGGCTCCAGGGGCTTCCAGGAGCGTCTTGGGTGCCTCGGGGGAGCCTCTTTGGGCCGTTTGGGATCCTCTTGGGGGCCTCCTGGGGGCCTCTGGGGGCCATCTTGGGGCCTCTTGGTGCCTCCTGGGCGCTTCTTGGGGCCATCTGGGAGGAAATCGATCAAAGAAGAGGGGAGCTTTAATTAGCGCTGCCCCCTCAGAGGGCCAAACTGGGGCCAAAACCTTAGTAAAATCAATGATTTTGGTTTGAAAGAAGAGGGGAGCTTTAATTAGCGCTGCCCCCCCAGAAGGCCAAAATGGTGCCAAAACAGTAGTACAATCAATGGTTCTGGCTTCAAAGAAGTGGGGCGGGTTTTTTCTCCCCCCCCCCCCCCTGTCGGGGCCAGAATCCTCGTGAGGGGTGTCGTTTTTTTAGCCCTCCCAGGAGTCGAAGAAGACCCATCCAACCACCCGCGAAAGGACCTCTCCAGGTCCAGGGGGAGGGGCTAGTGGGAGGGGTAAACCCCTCCCCGAAGGGGAAGAAGGGGGTTGAGAACAGAGCGGGCTCTCTAAACTACTCACGTCCAAAGGGCTGGTGGGATTTTGCTCACACACACAGACAATTGTATTGACGTTGCTCGTCCTTTGGCTCGCAGTCTTGGGCGTTCGCGCGACGGGCATCGATGCCTTTGTTGCTTGCTGATTTTGAGCGTGTTGGGGTCATTTGCCCCTCTTGGAGCTCCTGGTGGGCCATATGAGCACTATTCGGAGGTCTTCGTCGCCGCTTCGGGCCCAGATCGCATTTCACGAGCTCTAGGGCGTCGTGGGAACCTCTTGGCGCTCACTTCGGCGGTCTTGGAGATTTCAGGCCCAGGTACTCCTGGAAGCCCCAAACGGCTCTCGGAATGGAAATGTGTGTGGTTGGCCCATCCCTCTATTCGATTCTTGGGCTCACGCCGCACCGCCGACCCCTTGGGGGTGTAGCGGTAGGTTTAGTCTGCTTGCTCGGCGCGCGCGTGCAGGCAATTAAGGTTGCTTGCGGCCCGTGCTATTCTACTGACGCTGTCGGCGCGCTCGCCTACAGCTGCGACTAAAAAGTAACCCCACCAGCCCATCCAGAAACGATGCCCAGAGGAAGTGCCTCGATCAGGGAAGTGGGCAGCACACAGAGGACGGATCCCCCGGTGGAGGCCTCTTGGAGCGTCTTGGGGGCATCTTGGCGGCCCCAGGCGCCTCTTGGAGCGTCTTGGGTGCTTCGGAGAGCTTCTTGGGGCCTCTTGGGGGTCTCTTGGGGGCCTCGTGGAAGCCTCTGGGGCGCCTGTTGGGGCCTCCTGGGGCCTCCTGGGCGCCTTTTGGGAGCCTCTTGGGAGCCTCTTGAAGCGCTCTTGGGAGCCCTGGGAGCGCTCTTGGACCCCTCTTGGGCGATCTTGGAGTCATCTTGAAGCCTCGGATGGCCATCGGAAGCGAAGAAGCGAGAAAACCCTAAACATTGATTGCCCTGACGTTTTGGAAGGATTTCGGCCTCTTCGAAGCTTCCTGGGGGAGCTCCTTGGCGTCTTGGAGTCGTCTTAAAGCGGTCTTGGGGCCTCTTGGAGCATCGTGGGAGCCATCTTGAGGCATCTTGGGATATCTTGAGCCATCGTGGAGGTCATCTTGGGCTCATCCAGGCGCTCGTGGAGTCATTTGAAGCAGTGCCCCCCCAGGAGGCCCAAATGTGTCCAAAACACTAGTATAATCAATGATTATGACATTCTCGCCGAGGCCTTTTGGAGCGTCTTGGGTGCCTCTGGGTGGTCTCTTGGGGCCTCGTGGGGGTCTCTTGGGGGCCTCTTGCGGGCGTCTTGGGGGCCTTTGGGGGGTTTCTTGGAACCACATGGGGCAATGTTGGGGCCATCTCGGGGCCTCTTGGGGCCGCCTGGGCGCCTCTTGGGGCAATCTTGGAGGAGATCGATCACAGGAGGGGGGGGGGCTCAATTAGCCCCTTTCCCCCTCAGGAGGCCCAAATGGGGCCAACACCCTAGTAAAACCAATGATGTTGGCTTCCTCGCCGAGGCCGTTTTGGACGCCCCAACGCGTCGCGGAACCCCCCGTCCACGTCCGGGGAGGGGGTAGTGGGAGGGGTCAAGACACCCTCCCCGCAGGCAAGCCGTCTAGCTCACCCCCACCCGCCCTCCCACCACATACGTAGCACCCGAGCCTGGCCCGAGCCGTAGCATATTCAGCAGTCGTCGTTGGATGGGCAGTTACTGGGGCCAATCCGCCGCCGCCGCCGCCGCTTCCGCCGCCACCGCCGCTTCCGCCGCCGCCGCCGCCGCCGCCGCCGTTGTCCGCCGCCCGCCGCCGCCGCCCCCGCCCCCGCCCCCGCCCCCGCTGCCGAATCGCCGCCGCCGCAGCCGCTGCCGCCGCAGCCGGTGCCGCCACCGCTGCCGCCGCCGCCACCGCTGTCGCCGCCACCGCCGCCGCCGCCCCCGCCGCCGCCGCCGCCGCCGCCACCGCCGCAGCCGCCGCAGCCGCCAAGAGCATTTGTTTTCTATCGTTTTTGGCAGGGATGGTGGGGGGAGGCCGCATCGGGTTCGTTGCGCGTGCTCCGAATTTGAAGACAGAGTGTGTTTTGTATTGTTTTTTTTGCAAGGGGTGGTGGGGGGGTGCCCGCATTGTCCCTGGTTGGCTCCCAGTCGCCTGGGTGAGGGGGTGTATGCGAATAGGAGACAGTGATAAACCCCTCCCCGACAGACCTCAAGTCCGGGCCCCGGGTCCGGACCTCGCCCACCCCTCCCCCCAACCCTCCCGCGCCCATCCCCGCCCCTTGTCAGGGGAGGGGAAAAGGGAAGGGAATCGACTTAACGACGACTCTTCTTTCCTTTGCGTCCCAGTTCGGGAGTGGAGCGGGTGCATTTTCGCAGGGGGGGTCCCGGTTCTAGGAAGGGGGGGTTCAGATGCAGCGTAGATATACAGAACGCGCTCTTTCGAAGCTCGGGAGTCCGGATCCACAATTTTTGCACGAGAGATGTGGCTTCGGGATCGCGGGCCAATAGTTGTTTACCAGGGATGGGCCGTGGGAGCGTGGACCCAGTATTTTTTACCGGTGGTGGTGGTCTCGAGAGCGCCTAACATATGTTTTTCTCATTGAAGGAGGGGTGGGGCGATGCATACGACTGGATGTGTCGATAAGGGGCGAGGGGGGCTTAGACGATTAGAGAAAACCTACCAGACAGCACGTGGCAATCTACCACGCTTCAAGTGTGCCAGGGGGCACAGAAGCGGATTTACGACCAGGGCGGAGGAGGGTGGAGCGAGGAGAGAAGAGGGCGGAGGGAGGCAGTAGGAGGGTGGTGGACTGAGAGAAGAGGATAAGATAACCAGCCACCATGGAGCATGAGCCACACCTCCCCCTCCCCTTCCGTCCCTCCCTCTATCCCTCCCCCACTGATACAGCCTCCGTTGAGCGCGCGCGCACCAGCAGCATGAGCAGCGTAGTAGTAGTAGTAGTAGTAGTAGTAGTAGTAGTAGTAGTAGTAGTAGTAGTAGTAGTAGTAGTAGTAGTAGTAGTAGTAGTAGTAGTAGTAGTAGTAGTAGTAGTAGTAGTAGTAGTAGTAGTAGTAGTAGTAGTAGTAGTAGTAGTAGTAGTAGTAGTAGTAGTCAGTAGTAGTAGTAGTAGTAGTAGTTAGTAGTAGCAGTAGCAGTAGCAGTAGCAGTAGTACTAGTACTACTAGTACTAGTACTAGTACTAGTACTAGTACTAGTACTAGTACTAGTACTAGTACTAGTACTAGTACTAGTACTAGTACTCTAGTAGTAGTAGTAGTATTAGTAGTAGTAGTAGTAGCAGTAGTAGTAGCAGTATAGTAGTAGTAGTTAGTAGTCGTAGTAGTAGTCGTAGTCGTAGTAGTCGTAGTAGTAGTAGTAGTAGTAGTAGTAGTAGTAGTAGTAGTAGTAGTAGTAGTAGTAGTAGTAGTAGTAGTAGTAGTAGTAGTAGTAGTAGTAGTAGTAGTAGTAGTAGTAGTAGTAGTAGTAGTAGTAGTAGTAGTAGTAGTAGTAGTAGTAGTAGTAGTAGTAGTAGTAGTAGTGGTAGTGGTAGTGGTAGTGGTAGTGGTAGTGGTAGTAGTAGTGGCATCATGCCATTGTTGCATCCTGCATTTGCTTTGTCATAGCCGTTCGGCTCATGGCTCAGGGACTCAGCATTGCAATCCCAGAGATCGAATCGCCTGGAAAAATATTGCTTTCCAAGGGTGGGGATAGAAATAGCCTGTACCACCACCCACCATACACTCCCTTCCCCGAGGGGCAGGAAGCCGAGCGTCAGGAGGATTTCGAGTGGGGCAGGACAATGATCAGCAGGAGGGGGACGAGGAGCACGTGGGGCGAGCAAGGGAGGAGGAAGAGGAGGAGGAGGAGGAGAGGAGGAGGAGGAAAATGAAAAGGAAAAGGAGGAGGGGGAGGAGGAGGAGGAGGAGGAGGAGGAGGAGGAGGAGGAGGAGGAGGAGGGAGGAGGAGGAGGAGGAGGAGGAGGGGGGGAGGGGGAGGGGGAGGGGGAGGGGCAGGGGGGGGGAGGGGCAGGGGGAGGGGGAGGGGGAGGGGGAGGGGGAGGGAGGGGGGGGAGGGGGAGGGGAGGGGGAGGGGGGGAGGGGGTTGGGAGGAGAGGAGGAGGAGGAGGAGGAGGAGGAGGAGGAGGAGGAGGAGGAAGAGAAGGAAGACGACGACTGCGACGATGAGGGAGCCCCCCGCTTCTGGTGCGCCAGCTCCGCGGGAAGCCCTTCCTGGTCCTCGCCAACAAGTGCGACCGGCAGGCGCGCTGAGATCCCCCCCCGCCCGCAGCCCCCCATTGCGGTGGCGAGCCCAGCGGGGCGGCGAGAAGGGGCCGGCCTCCTCGGAAGGTTCGGAAGTCTCCCGGCCTGCTGAGAAGTTTTCGAAGCCTCCCCCGAAGACACGGATAGCCTCTCAGAAGGCGCGAGGGCTTCTGAGAAGCCCCGCCACTTGTGGGAAGGCCTTCTCCTTTTCAGTTCCCCCCCTCGCTCGCCACCGACCCTGGCCTCTGCCGTGCCTCTTCCCGATGCTCCAGCCTCCTGATGCTGCTCACGGGAGGAAAGATGCTGGTACTGCTACCCTTGCCTCGTTTGCCGCTCGTCGGGCCTCCTGGGGGGCCCTCGTCGTCACCGCTGGATTCGCCTCGGAATTCTGATCAGACCGCACACAGGGGAAGGTCCGGGGATTTGGGGTATCGGTACTTTTTGCCTTCCCTAGCTTTAAGTCGGGCTTGTCCCAAAATCCCCCTGTAGGGGGACACGCCCGACTTAACCCCAGCTCCTCTCTCCTCAGAGGAGGGCCGTTTGAGACACTGGCAGTTGGCCTTCAGAGGGCCCCTCGGCGCCACGGCTGGGCGCAGCGCGGAGAGCTGTTGCGTCTGGACCCTGCCGAGGAGGGCTCCGGAGGCCCGTTCTAACTTTCAGTGTCTCGAACCGCCGTGCTCCAGTACTCGTCTGCTTCCACCCCCTCTTCCTGATCACCCCCTCGTCGTCGGCCTCCTCCTCCACCTCCTCCTCCTCCACCTCCTCCTCCACCACCTCGTCCACCTCGTCCTCGCCAATCGACCCCCATCGCCGCCGTCACCCTGGCTCTCCCTGGGCCCCATCGTCCTGCCCGATGGCGCCGCGAGCCCGGCGGCGGGGGCCAGGAGGCACGGTGGCGCGGGAAGGGGGCGGGTGGCGACGTGGTGTGCGTGCTTCGCATGCTCAGGTTTGCCTGGCGAGCTCGTGCTTGCCATCATCGCCACGACCAGGCCGATCGCAGGCTGGTGCGGGCCGACGCGCGGCCTGGAGCAGGACGCCTCGCGGCGCGGCAGCGTCGGCCACCAAGCTGGAGCGGCGGGATGCGAACCGCCGTTGCGACGTGTGGCGGCATCCGCGCGCCACGCCGACTCCGTTGCCCAGATTTCGCTCCTGCGCAAGGCGGCGAGCCGCTCGCAGTCGGGCCTCCGCTGGTAGCTCTGGCACAGTCGGCCTCCAACACGGTCGCCCGCTCCTCTTCATCATCGGCAGCATCAGCTACACCATCATCATCATCATCATCATCAGCAGCATCATCATGTTCATAATCATAATCATAATCATAATCGTAATGATAAGACTCATCATCAGCATCATGATCTTAATCATCAGCACCACCACCTTTATCCCCATCACCATCACCATCATCATCACCATCACAGCCACCACCACCATCACCATCACCATCAACATCACCGTTGTCATCATCGTCATTATTTCCATCCTCATCATTCACCCGCCTTTGTCGTCTGTCTTTTGTGGCCAGGGTGCACGTGGTTCCGGCTGGAATGTTGCAGCCGGCATCGTCATGACTTCTGCAGCCGCTCTGTCTGTTTGGGCGCGAGCGGCAGTGAAGACAATCAAATGGCATCGGCAGTATAATGACATGTCCGAGTGGGCAGATGATCATGTGCCAGCGGTACGCATCATCAACGGCCAGCCTTGGGATGAGGGCTGGACTACCGCGATTGACTCGAACGTGCTCCAGGCGGGAATGCGCCCTGTTAGTGGTATTGGCTGGGCGGTAAAGCAATCGGCGACAGCGATGATAGCCAGTAGACGTACCTGATTAGACGGGAGGCTGGTACGCGGAAGCCCGTGCACACAGAGTCATTTCCACACGCTTCAGCGGCCAGAGTTTGCACGTTTTGTTGTTGAAAGGATGTGTGATCTATGCTGGTTTGGGCATCCCGTCTTCCCTGTCTCCTTCGGCCCTCGCTTCAGGGACCCCCGCTCTCGTCCTCCCGGGTCGGGGGGGGGGTTGCAGTGACAAGCTGTTCGGAGGGCGTGGGGGACTTGCTGAAGCCCTGCTGCTTCGGATGCCGTGCCGTGCACGCTGCCGCACTGAGCTTCTAGCTCGATGCCCTAGACAACACCAGCCGTACATCATTGGGCCCCCACGTCCGCCCAGGGGCCGGGAAGAAGCGCGGTGCTCCGGCCGGAGGTGGGGGGCGGCACAGAGGGCGCGGACGATTGCCCAGGCGCCGCGCGCAGTCCGGCGGCGCGGGCGCCCGCCAGCCACCGTGCGACCCGCGCAGGCGCATTGGCCTGGCGCGCGCGCGGGGAGGGCCGCCCGCCTGCAGCGACGCTCGCTCGCACGCGATGGATCGGCAGGGCGAGCGCGTTGGCGCGTGGGGGGGGGGGGGCGTCCGCCCCACTGCGCGCGCTGCGCGCGCAAGTGCGACATTTGCATCGGCTTGTGCCGCGCCAAGAGCGCCCAGCACCCATCGTTGGGGTGCAGCGGCCAGGGCTGGCGGGCCCGTGGCAGCGCCACATGTGAGAGCGTGAATTACCTGCCCCGTTTTCCTTTCCAGGCAAAACCAAGTCATACCACGCGCCTCCTCGTCAAGCGGCCTGACCAATACAGGCCGTAGTTTGGCATCGCTTGCTATCTCGTGGAAGCCAGGGCAGGGGGGTTTGTTTACCCCTTGGTGCAGGAGAATGTGACATTATGCTTCTGACAGGTGAAACTTCCTGTCAGACAGAGTATGTTGCAACCGGAATGCCATTTTCTATTGACATAGTCAGAGTTTTCATCAGACATGACGTGCATTAGGACCGAGCCGGCGCAATGCAGTGGCGCAGGCGCCTGGGTGCTCGAGGGGGGGCATCTGACGCCAGCCTTGGCTGCGAGGGGGGTGCGTTGCACCGCGCTTTCCAGGGCGCAAGAGCCTGAACCGCGCGGCGCGGGGCACAGCCCTTTGCCGCCCCCGACCCAGCAGTTGTGCATCCAAGGGGCACGCCCCGGCCCGAGAGCTGCAGCCCGCGGGCCCCGCCGCGCGGCGGCGCCGGGCGCTGGGCCCGCCCCGCGTGTTTTTTTTTTTTTTTTTTTTTTTGCGCGGGCTGCCGCTTGCGGGCCCCGACGAGCGAGATCCGGCGCCCGGAGCCGGCGAGCGCAAGGCTGGGAGCCTGTTTTTTTTTTAGACTCTGGCAAGTTTACTTGCATGGACGGGGGGGGGGGGGCTGAGCCTGAAGCTAGTGCTCGCTTGAAGAGGGGCGAGGGGGGGGGGCGGGGGGGGGGGGGGGGGGGGGGGGGGCGAACGCCATGCGAGTAAACTTGCCTGAGTCCAAACAAAAACACATGCTCTGGGCGAGACCGAGTGCCAGCAGCGCGTCCAGCTGCCGGGCGCCAGCGGGCGGACCCCTTCGCGCAGCTCGGGGCCCCATGCGGGCGCGGCCCGCGCGGGGCTCCCCCTGCGAGAGAAGCTGTGCGCGGGGCCACCGGCGGCTCTGCCGGGGGCTTCGGAAGGCCGGGCATCGGACTGGAAGATCGGGCGGGGGGTACAAAATTCGCTGCATGCAGCGCTGGTTTCGGCCCCACCGAGGGGCCCATTCCTCGATACATAAGTCGCCTCCGGCGCCGGGAGGCGCCGGCAAAATCAGCTGCGTGAGCTGACTCTCAACCCCCCCTTTTGCTATCCCCCCCGTTTCGCCCGACCCGAGAAGAGGCGGCAGCCTGGCGGGCCAGGCGGCGCGCCAGCAGCCTGGCGGGCTGACGGGCAGCCCGGCCCTGCGGCCCAGCTCCAAGGCCATGGGCGCGCAGCCCTGCCTGGCTCGGCGGCCCGGTGCGCCTGCCCAGCTCGGCGGCCTGGAGACCCGTGGCGGGGGGCCGCCAAGGCGGCGCGAGAGAGCTCCCACAGAATACCTAGGCAGCCCAAGGAGGCCCCAGTAGCCCGCAGGAGGGCCCCGACAGGACCCCAAAGGATGCCCCCAAACAGCCCCAGATGGCCCCAACAGCCCCCAGCGCAGCTTCAGGAGATCACGACGGGCCCCAATTATTCGACGTCCTTTTCTTTCCTCGGGCTCCTTTCCGTCTTCCTTCGTCGTCGTCCTCCTCCTCCTTCTTCTCCTCCTCCTCCTCCTCCTCCTCCTCCTCCTCCTCCTCCTCCTCCTCCTCCTCCTCCTCCTCCCCCTGCTCCTCCTCCGCCTCCTCCTCCTCATCTTTCGCTTCGTTCCTCCTCGTGCGTACTAGTCCTCCTCCATATATTCCCCCTCGTCGTCGCGCTGGTTTTCCTACTCTTTGTCCTCCTGTTCCCATCGTCGCCTCCCCGTTGTCCACGCTGGCATCCTTGTCATCAGCCGCCTTGTCGTCGGCATTACCCTTACGGTACATACGAGCCCCATGGACCAAGTCGGGGCTCCCAGTTTTTTCCGATCGGGTTCCATGGCAAGGTGGCCGCGGCCCGGAGCTCCGGTGAACTGCACTGAAGCCGATCGAAGCAACATGACGACCGACTGCTCGGACGGGGCTGCCACGAGGATGGCTCTGTGCCAGTGCGTTCTGGAACGCTCTGACCGCGTTTTGGAACGCTCTCACCACGTTCTGGAACGCGCTCTGTGAGTAGGCCGCGGGACCCGAGACACCACCCAGTGTCGCCGTGTTAAAGAGATTCTCGAGGTATCCTCACTCGAATTTACAGGAGGGGGACAGCCACACGGACACAATTCATCGTCGGTTCCCAGGAACATCGGGGAAAATAAGGGAATTGGGGGGGAGGACGAACATTTAGAAAACATGCGAAATATAAGGTATCCTGGGATTTGTGTCTATTTACTTGTGAGTCCCAGGGGGGCGCCTTCAAATTTGTCCCCGACCTGGTTGCGCCGCGGCGAGCGGCGACGGCGAGGAGCGGCGGCGGCGGCGGCGGCCCCAGACATCCGACGAGATGGGACGTCTGCTTCGTCCCCAGGGAGGCCTTTCTCTATGCCGCGGATCCGTTGCTGATGGCCCCGGGGCCCAGAATGCCGAAGGACCCAGACCCCCTCGGGCTATGAGAAAGTCACGACGGGAGGGGTTTCGCTATTTTCGTCCTCTGGGGGCCCTTGCCGGCCCTCGGGACCGTGACAAAACGATTCAGTACGAAAAACCGTTCCTGGGGAATGGGTCGAGACCTCTGCAGGGGGTCGACGTCATGCAAAAATAATGACGTCCGGGGTCTGGGTCGTACAGTCAACCCGCATTGTAAGGATGGGCAACATTCCCAAGGGTGCCCTTGCGTCCTTGCCATCTCGGTCCATCCTCGGCCGCTTTCGTTGGCCAGCCTGGGTCGGAAAACGTGAGCATGGCCGTCCAAGGCCCCTGCACCCTTACCGCACATCCTTCCGATACGAGCTGACTGCAGTCGGATCAGGGGAGGAAGAGCCACCCCGACCCCCATGCAATGGACGTCTACTGCACGGCCCTGGGCGCTCACGAGAAGCAGCATTGCCTTGTTCGATTCCTTCCTTGGCTGCGTTTGCGCAGCGCCTTCCTTGTCCGGGTGTTTCTTCTGAGGGTGGCTTCCTGACTCTCTTTGAGGAAGGGCGCCGCCAGGCCCACGCGCGGCCCGCTCGGACCTTACCTCGCCGTTGGCGCGCTCGCCTTGGGCTGCCAACAAGAGGAGGGCGCCGCAAGCAAACAAATTCGGCGGCGAGCGAGGGGGACAAGTGAGAAGGAAAAAAGCCTTTTCGGAGGGCGGCGGGGCTCCCCAGAAACCCCGGCGCTTCCTAAAGAGCTTCCTGCGTCTTCGGGGAGCGCTGAGACACTTCCCCGAAGGCCGGCGGACCTCCGAGCCTTCTTAGAGGGCCTTCTCGTTCTCGCTTGGCCCCCGGGCTCGCCGCCGAAAAGCACCACGTCGTCGGAGGCCGGGGGCGGGCGACGGGCGCCGGCGGCCACGGCCGCGTCCGCAGCGGACGGCGGCGTCGAGCAGGCGGCCCCGCCCGGAGGACCCGTCGGCATGCAGGAGCGACATCTCGCCGGAGGGGCCTGCGGTGCGGGCAGACCGTCGGCGGCGAGCGGGGGCGGGGGGGGGGAGAGTGGGAAGGAGAGGACCTTCACCAGACGGCGGCGGGACTCCTCGGCAGCCCTTCGCGCCTTCGGAGGGGTCCTCCGCGTCGTCGGGGGCGGCGTGGGGCACTCCTCGGAAGGCCTGGGGACTTCCTGGAGCTTCCCGAGAAGGCCCGCCCCCTCTCGCTTCCCCGCCCCCGCAGCCCGCCGCCGACGCCCGGCGTCCCCAGGCGACCGAGCGCGGTGCGACGGCAGCGTCCCCGCGCGCTCGGGCCCGGCCTCCCCGCGGCCCCCGGCAGCCGCGCACCCTGGTGATGGGCCTGTTCCCCACCACCACCACCAGAAGTTGGCGGGGGAGGGGGTCCTTGTCCTCCTCCTCCTCCTCCTCCTCCTCCTCCTCCTCCTCCTCCTCCGCTTCACAGGTACGCCGTCTCCTCCTCCTCCTCCTCCTCCGCTTCCTTCTCCTCCTCCTCCTCCTCGACCTCCTCCTGCCAGTCCTCCATCCCCTTCCCCCCTCCAACTTATGGTGGTGGTGGTGGTGGAAAACAGGCCCATCACCTGAAGTCGCCCTTGGCCCGGGGTCACCCCTGCGTGCCGCCGGAGGACGCGCTGACCGTCGAGGAGGTGGTGGACTCGTTCGGCCTGGGCGACGCCATGCGCGGGCGCGCGTGGCACCTGCAGCGCTGCAGCGCCGTGACCGCCGAGGGCCTGCAGGCGGCGCACGGCAGCGGCGACGGCCTCGTCGCCGCCGCCGCTCGTCTCGGGGGCAGCGTTGGGGGGGGAGAGAGTTTCGGGGCGTCTTCGAACGTTTTTGGGGGATCCCGCCCGCCTTTGTAACGTTTGCGGAGCACGAGGTGGTATCCGTCCGTTGCGCCTCGTCGAGACCGTTCCAGGGCTCTCGCAGGGAGCTTTCTCCAGACACGGAAAGGTGCCCCGACGGGGGCCCGAGACGGTCCCGAGATACCCGCAAGATGGCGGCAGGATGGAGGACGGCGGAGGAGGAGAACCGAGGACCGACAAAAGTTTGTTCGAGCTCTACCCCCGATCCCTTCGGAGAGGGTCCATACTTGCTTGTTTTTTCGTGTACCCAGCCGTGGAGACGAGAGCCTCCAGAACGTAGACCATGTTCGACACGAAGACGTTGGCGTCGACGTCCCCGATGATCGAGGGCCGCTAAGAAGCAGGAAGGAGGAGGAGGAAGAGGAGGAGGAGGAGGAGGAGGAGGAGCCGCAGCATACCTATCAGGAGGAGGTAGATGCTGCGTTGCCCCCATGTTGTCTCCGCTCTGTCCCGCTGCGCTCTCGTCGCTCTGCTGGTGGTTTCACGTTGAAAGGAAGAGGGGGAGGGGGAAAGGGAGGGGGAGGGGGGGGGAGGGGAGGGGGAGGGTGAGGGGGGAGGGGGCAAGCTAGGTGCGCTCGCGTCATATCTGACATCCTACCCCTCCCTCCCATCCCTTACCATGGCGCAGATCCCCTCTCTACTCGCACAGTCGGATGTCGAGCAGGGCAATGATCCCGAAAGGGTACGCGATGCATTGTAGAGCACGGCATGGCATGACGTAGAAGAGCACCGCAAAGCGTCGTATCAACCCAGCATTGCATTGCACGCCGTGGCATGGCACGGGAAATGACGCCAGCGCTGCAGCGGGAGCACGAGTCGAAACGAGCGGAAGTGCGGAAATGACGCCGGCGTTGCAGCGGGAGCACGAGTCGAAACGAGCGGAAGCACAGAAATGAGGCCAGCGTTGCAGCGGGAGCACGATTCGGAACGAGCGGGGCCCGAAAATGAGGCCGGCGCCTCAGCGAGAGCAGCATTTTGAAAAAAAAGCAAGCGCAAACCCAACTCCGGGGAAACCTCTGTGTAAAAAACAGTACGCGGGGGGGATCGGACACTTTCAAACCGTGATCAGGGGAAGGGGGAGAGTAGTATTCGTATTGAGTAATTGTGGAGGGGAGGGGCAGGGGCAGGGGCAGGGGCAGGGGGACGAGGAGGACCAGAGTCAGCCTTTGATGCGCATCGGCGATGCCGCAACACGATGTCCCTTCCCGAGCCCCCTCCTCGCAGGGCCCCGCGGGAAATCCTTCTCCTTGCCGGCAGCTGGCGCCTTGCGCCCTCCCGCCGTCCGGGCGGGAGCCCCCGCTCTGAGAAGGGACTGCCATGCATCCTTCTAGCAAGACCTTGGCATCGCTCGCACGTTCCCACTTCTTCTAGGCGAAGACCATCGAGGAGCATGTTGGACCAGTTGTCGAACAAACGTTGACGCACGCAGTCCACGGGGAATGGACGTCCGACCGATGGCGAAAGCAGGACCGCGAACAGGCAGGAGGCCTTCTAGGTGGGTCCAGACAAGATGGGATTGGAGGATAGCGCGCTGGCCCCGAGCGGCCGCTTCGGCTATGGGCCACTGCGAACAGACGCCGCTGCAACGGGGAGGAGTGAATCCCTGGGGGACTGAAGGAGGAGGAGGGGGGGGGAGGGGGAGGAGGAGGAGGAGGAGGAGGAGGAGGAGGAGGAGGAGGAGGAGGAGAGGAGGAGGAGGAGGAGGAGGAGGAGGAGGGGGAGGAGGAGGGGGAGGAGAAGGGGGAGGAGGAGGAGGAGGAGGAGGAGGAGGAGGAGGAGGAGGAGGGGAGGAGGAAGGAGAGGAGGAGGAGGAGGAGGAGGAGGAGGAGGAGGAGGAGGAGGAGGAGGAGGAGGAGGAGGAGGAGGGGGGCTAGCCGAACCCCTTGCCCTGGCTGCCGCCCAGTGCCGCTTGTGCACGCACCGAGCACGCACCGAGCGGGCGGCACGGGCGCGAGAGGAGTGCGACACCCTCGGCCAGCCACTGGTGCGAGGGTCTGCCGCGGCCGGTCCACGCCGGGTACGTCCGCTCGGGCAGCCTTCTGTGCACAGACCTTCCAGACTCAAGCAGCGGCGAAGCGTCCTGGCTCGCCTACAGCCCTACCAAACAATGTTCTAAGAACCTTTTGTGGTTTCCGCGAAATGTTCTTAGAACATGTCTGGCGGAGATTGCTTTGTTTTAACACATGGGGTTATGTTCTAAGAAATTTGTTTGCGTTCTTCGGAAAAATTCGGGTTCTAAGAACATTTCGTGGTAGGACTACAGGAATGCCGGGACGGTCGGTCCCTGCTCAACAGACTTGATCGCGTCGTGGAAAAAACAGTTTTTCACAATTTTCAGATTTTTCGCGAGTTGTTCATAATTTTCACAAGCTTTTCTTCCCAAAAATGAGGACGACAAGTTGTTTCACAATTTTGGGCCCTTGGGGGCCCTCGCTGGGCCACGGGACCGTCCAAGCAACGACTCAGGACGACACCGGTGACGGGGAGAGGGTCGGGACAGCGCATGTTTGGTTTACGTACCCTCGGCCAGCCTCTTTGTGAACAGCCTTCCACCATGAGACCTTGGTGGCTCCATTTCATCGGGCTTCGGCGTTGTCGTTGTCGCCAAGTCTGTTTCTGGCCCCGGCAGCCTCACGCAGCGGTCGGGCTCGAAGAAAGCGGCGCAGAAGGATGGGCTCAGGGGCTCCCGCCGTGATGCTTGCGATGCTTCGATGTTGTTCGCGCCGTCAGATCTCAGGGACTGCCCCCCCCGGGCGGCATCACGCGGCCAACGGCGCGGCCCCCTGCGCTCCGCGCACCAAACGCGCGGAGGCGCACGGCACACCCCGCGCGGCGCCGCGCAGAGCTCAGGGAGGGCCAGGGAGAGCAGCTGCGAAGCGTTGCCGCCGCCCGAGCTCTCAATTGTCAATTGGTCTGGGGCGAGGATAAGTCCGCTCCAGATCCTTCCGCAGCGCTCTCACAGCGTTCGGGGACGCGTCGAGAAGGCCGCGGCGCCCGAGACACCCTCCAGAGCCGCCGGATCCCAGAGGCTCTCGGTCTTTCCTTGCCCGAGTTTGTCCGCGTCCCGGCTTCGTCTCACGAGCGGGCAAGGAGGGCGCGCCAGGCGAAAGACTCCGCTGCCCCAGCGGGCCACGGGCGTGAAGTCACCGCTTGCCACGCGATCGCGGAGCCACGGAGGGGGCAACCGAGAGCCAGCGGACTCCTCCTGCCCCGAAGCCTTACCCCATATTTCGAAATAAAGGGAGGGGGGTCTCATTTCGGGGGGGGGTCTCTTCCAGGCTATCTTGGAGGGCCGGGGGGGTCTGGGGACGATGCTTTGGAGGGTTCTCCCACGGGGGAGGTCTGAAATGGCTCGTCCTGGAGGGTCCAGACCCCCTCCCTTTTATTACGAAATCTGGAGTACGGGTTTCGGGGTCATGAGAGATCGCGCCGCACCGCCGATGCAGCGGCGATGCGGCGCGATGTGGAGTCCGGCTTCCCGGGTCCCGGCGTCGCCCGTGCACGGGCGGTGCGGCGCGAGCCTCCGACTCGGTTGGCGCTGGCCCCGGGAGGCGTTCCAGGCGAGGGTCCCGCGGGAGCCCCATGTTCGAAGAGAGAGCGCCCTCCACCCGTGCGGTCAGTGCACACGTGTGGAGCGCTTCGAGTGTTCCCACCAGCCCATCCAGGATTGATGCCTGGGGAAGCTGCCCTCATCGGGGGAGCGTGGCATCGTTCGACTACCTCGGGGTCTCTCGGGGGAGGGCCTCTTGGGGTGTCTCGGGGGCCTCTTGGGAGACTTGGAGGCCCTGGGACCATCTTGGAGGTCAGGTCAGGTCAGAAGCCTTGCACCAGACGGCGCGCGAGCAGGGTGAAACAAGACGATTGCGCATGTGAAGGGGCACTTCGGCACTCCATCCAAACCAGTGAGTGGAGCCCTCCATCGGAGAGGCGTCTCGCAAGAATCCGCTTTATGGGGGTAGCAGTGTAAGAAATGTGTGGGAGCGGATGTAGAAGGATACTTCCTGCGGTAAATTTCAGAACGTGTTGTAAGTCACCCTGATGACTTTCGGCGCTTCGTCCGCATCAGTTATCCCACTTAGTGGGGTTGATGATGTCGGAGGTAACCTACTCATGATTCACAGACAAACGAGTTAACAAATCCTCTGGTGGGTCTCAGATGCACCGAAATCTACTCACCAGGCTCTGCAAAGCATGTCTGGCTGAAATCTGATAGAGAGGAGGAGGAGGAGGAGGAGGAGGAGGAGGAGGAGGAGGAGGAGGAGGGGGAGGAGGAGGAGGAGGAGGCCGCGGCGGCGGCGGCGGCGGAGGGGAGGGGGGCAAACATCAATCGTGCCATTATGGGGGGTCCTCCAGAAGCGCTGCCCTTGAGAGAGCTCATAATCTGGCCTCTGGGGATTCTTGGGACGCTCTTGGACGCTCTTGGATCCGCCTTAGAGCCCTCTTGGGCCCCTCATATGTCTCTCGTGGGCTCTCTTGGAGCCATCTTTAGGCCTTGGAAGGCCATCGCAAGAGAACGGGCGAGCATGCCAAAACTATAGACCCCCTTTGTGTGTTTGGGAGAACTGTTGGCCTCTTGGCGGCGTCCCGGGGGGCCGTGGAGACCAATTGAGTTCGTCTTGGAGCGGTCTTGGGACCCCTGGGAGTATGTTGGAAGCTACCTTTAAGTCGGGCTTGTCCCTCTGCAGGGGGACGATGTCTGGGGACGATTGTTTGAGTATTTTGTTATTCTTCGTCCAAAATCCCCTGTAGGAGGACAGGCCCGACTAAAAGCTACCTTGAACGATCACGCGCTACCTTCTGCCATCTCGGAGGCCCTCTGGGGCCCTCCTGGAGCTCGCTCGCCGCCCCCTCCCTTCCAGACCCAGGGGAAGGGGTAAATCCCTCGCCGCAGGAGAAGAAGGGGGTCGGAAGACGGAACGCTCTCAACCATCGACGCCCTAAAGGGTTGATGGGATTTGCACTCTTATGTCCACGGCACGGTTAAGAAGTGGCAAGCGACAGTTCGATGTTGCACAATAGCCACCCTTCTTCAGCGCAGTGATTGCACACGTGCCTTCTGGTTTAAATCTGAGACGTCTCAAGGAGGGCCCATGCTTGAAAGCAGCCCGCACTCCGCGTAACGGTCGGGAGTGCTTGAGACGAATTTGCTCTGCGCAGGAGCCGCACTTCGAAGATGCCACCGTTAGGAAACGCCAAGCCTCAGGACCGCCTGTGCGGAAGGCTCAGGCGGAACGCCCCGCCCGTCCTATGCCGACGCGCCGTCGGAAAGGGGGGGAGGCGTCGAGGAGGAGCTGCGCACAAGGAGGAGGGACGAAGCGGGCAGGCAGGCCGCGCGACCGTTTGAGCCCGAGTGGCCACGCGGGGAGGGAGTTGGCGGAAGAGGAACAGGAGGAGAAACGACAGGAAAATGAGAAGGAAAGACGATTAGGGAGGAGGAGGAGGAGGAGGAGGAGGAGGAGGAGGAGGAGAAGGTGAGGGAGGAGGTGAGGGAGGAGGAGGAGGAGGAGGAGGAGGAGGAGGAGCAGTCGCTGCAATGAGAGGTGAGTGGAGAGCAAGGGAGAGGGGGGGGGCCCTCGCCCCGCCCGCGCCCGTGCCCGGCAGGCCGCCTGCTCGTGGTTGACCCTGAGACTCCTGGAAGAGGCGCCGACCGGTCGTTGAAAGTAGGTATGTTTGGGTTCCCGGATCGGGGGCGGAAAAAAGGTGGGCTGACGTTTTGAAAAGTTCATGACGTCGGGGGTCTGGGTTCCAATCTACTTTAAGCGCCTTCCTACTTCAATGATCGTCGCCTTTTCCGTCCTCCGTAGTGTCCGGGGCGGGCAAGAGGGGGGTGATGACTAGGGGGGGTTGGATATCATGGCGGGGGCCGCGATTTTTCCCCAGATTTCATGGCGCCTCTTCTTATTTCATTACGTCCCTGGCCCCCCCGCTGAGCCGCGCACATGCCGCTGGTCGTGATTTGCACCCCCGCCTCTTGGACACCCCCCTCTTGGCCGCTCCCGACCAGACCCCCTCGGGTCATGGAAAAATCACGGCGGTAGGCTTTTTGCTGCTTTCGGCCTCTGGGGGCCCTTACCGGCCCTCGGGACCGTCAGAATCGACCCAGGATGAACAACCGGTCCCGGGGAAGGGGTCGAGTCCTTTTGGGGGTCGACGTTGTGAAAAAATTATCCCGGCAAAGCAACCTAACAGCGATGTGTATCAGCATATTTGGAAGCATGCCCCTTTAGATTCAGGTGAGAATCCAGTTGTCTAATTATGTTGTTCTCGGAGTCGCAGTCGCATTCGCAATGACAGTCGCAGTGGCAACGGCCTTAGGATCCAATGGAATCCTAAGGATTCCTAGGGATTCCTAAGGCATCCTTAGGCATCCTTAGGAATCCATAGGAATCCTTAGGAAACCTTAGGAATCCTTAGGAATCCTGATTCCTATGGATTCCTATGGATTCATAAGGATTCCCAGGGAATCCTAAGGATTCCTAAGGATTCCTAAGGATTCCTGAGGATGCTCAACTATGCCTACGGATTCCTAAGGATGCCTACGGATTCCTAAGGATTCCTAGGGATTCCTAAGGATTCCTATGGATTCCTACGGATGCCTCAGCCTGCCTCAGTTTCAGCCTCAGCCTCAGCCTGCCTCGGCTTGCCTCAGCCCCAGCCTCAGCCTGCCTCGGCCTCAGCCTCAGCCTGCCTCAGCCTCAGCCTCAGCCTGCCTCGGCCTCAGCCTGCGTCATCCTCAGCCTCAGCCTGCCTCAGCCTCAGCCTGCCTCAGCCTCAGCCTCAGCCTCAGCCTCAGCCTGCCTCGGCTTGCCTCAGCCTCAGCCTCAGCCTGCCTCGGCCTCAGCCTGCCTCGGCCTCAGCCTGCCTCAGCCTCCCCTCCTCCCCCCCCCTTCCCCCCTCCCCTATTTAGCCTCACCTTGTCTCAGCTTCGGCCTGCCTCGGCCTCATACTCAGCCTCAGCCTGGCCTCAGCCTCAGCCTGCCTCAGCCTCAGCCTGCCTCGGCCTCAGCCTCAGCCTGCCTCAGCCGCAGCTTGCCTCAGCCTCAGCCTCAGCATCAGCCTCAGCCTGCCTCAGCTTCAGCCTCAGCCTCAGCCTGCTTCGGCTTGCCTCAGCCTCAGCCTCAGCCTGCTTCGGCCTCAGCCTCAGCCTCAGCCTGCCTCAGCCTCAGCGTCAGCCTCTCAGCCTCAGCCTGCATCAGCCTCAGCCTCAGCCTCAGCCTGCCTCAGCCTCAGTCTCAGCCTGCCTCAGCCTCAGCCTGCCTCAGCTTCAGTCCCAGCCTGCCTCGGCCTCAGCCTGCGTCAGCCTCAGCCTCCGCCTGCCTCAGCCTCAGCCTGCCTCAGCCTCAGCCTCAGCCTGCCTCGGCGTGCCTCAGCCTCAGCCTCAGTCTGCCTCGGCCTCAGCCTGCCTCGGCCTCAGTCTGCCTCGGCCTCAGCCTGCCTCAGCTCGGGCATTCAAAATATGGCACAGGACTCGTGTTCTGGAAGCACGAAGATCACGAAGTGGCCCACAGCTGGCTCCGGGCAATCAAAATATGGTACAGGAATGGTGTTCTGGGAACACGAAGAACACGAAGTGGCTTACAGTTGGCTCCGGGCATTCAAAATGTGGCCTGGGAATGATGTTCTGGGAACACGAAGAACACGAAGTGGCCTACAGTTGGCTCCGGGCATTCAAAATGTGGCTTGGGAATGTTTTCTGGGAACACGAAGAACTCGAAGTGGCCTACAGCTGGTTCCGGTCATTCAAAATGTGGCCTGGGAATGGTGTTCTGGGAACACGAAGAGCACGAAGTGGCCTACAGTTGGCTCTGGGCATTCAAAATGTGGCCTGGGAATGGTGTTCTGGGAACACGAAGAGTAGGAATCCATAGGAATCTATGGGAATCTATATGAGTCCTAGGGAGTCACCGGTTTTCCCCGGCATCCCCCGGATCCTGCCCAGACCCCCTTGGGGAATCAGGATGCTCTCTTTTGACCCCACTAGAAACCTATCAGTCTTCGCTGTTAGGTAATCATGGCGTCGGGGGTCTGGGTTCCAATCTACTTCAAGCGCCTTCCTACTTCAATGATCGTCGCCTTTTCCGTCCTCCGTAGTGTCGGGGGCGGCCAAGAGGGGGTTGATGACTGGGGGGGGATATCATGGCGTGGGCCATGATTTTTCCTCGGATTTCATGGCGCCTCTTCTTATTCATTACGTCCCTGGCCTCGCCTTGGGCCGCGCACATGCCGCCAGCCATACTTTGCGCCGCTCCTCTTGGACGCCCCCCTCTTGGCCGCCCCCGATAGGGGGCGGACGGAACCCAAATCTGCTTTCAACGCCATCCTTTTTCGTGTTCCTACCTACTTCTTCCGACTGATGGGTATCGGTCTGGCTCGACGTCGATTTCAGCCGACCCGATCCGATTCGATTCCGATATCTGGTTCGGTGCGACCCCCCTCTTGGATTCGAGGCCCATTTTATTGGGTTTGAGCAGATGGGGGTCGGAGGATTGTGCCGCATCGGCGATGCATCGGCGATGCGGCTCGATGTAGAGCTCGATTCTCTCCACGCCAGCGTCGCCGATGCATCGCCAACGTCGCCGATGCATCGCCGACGTCGCCAGTGCATCGCCGATGCATCGGCGATGCGGCGAGGTCCTCCGACCCCGTCTACTCGGACCCCACCTGGAGGGCCTCTATGGACACCCCCGATGTTCGCCATGGCGCAGACGGGCACCGCTGGGGAGCGGACCCCGACGCTCGTGTTCGCGCGCGCTCGGGCCTGCCGGGCCCCACCCGCCCACGGGCCCCGGGAGTGTTCGGAGAACCTGCTCAGGACGAGGGCTAGGGCCCAGGACCCGCTTCCCTCAGAACCCATTTCTCAAGCAGTGGCGAAGCGTCCTGGCTCGCCTTGAGCCCTACCAAACAATGTTCTAAGAACCTTTTGTGGTTTCCCACGAAATGTTATTAGAACATTTCTGGCGGGGTCTGTCTTGTTTTATCACACCGCCTATGATCTAAGAACATTGATTTTGTTCTTAGCACACATTTGGGTTCTAAGAACATTCCGTGGTATGACTATAGGAATGCCGGGACGGTCGGTCCCTGCTCACATTGCTTTCATTCAGCATCGCTTCACCGATCCCTATCACCGTCCCCCTCCCATCCAGACCCCCACCTTCTCGGCGCCCCCGTTCGGGACACATTCCTCGAGGCCCGAAGGAGACGGCCCATGTCCCCCATCTAGGGGGGTGAACTGGCCAGTGGGGCCAAGGCCACGCCGATGGGGATAGGGGTCGGCTGAACGATGCTCAAACAGGATCCGATGCGACCTACATGTTTGCGTGGCGTTGTTGTGCATCCTGGCGCGGCCGATCCGTCTCGATGTCGGCTCTGTGCCGCTGCGGCCCCATCCGACGCATGCTCCGACTCGGCATGACTTCCCAATTCGGCGATAATTTATCTCGGTTCCCCACCTGGGAGGAGAAGTCGAACAGCACCAATGCAGCATGGCTGCTCGGAGGCCCGCGCGAGTTTTCCCGGCGCCGGCCCACGAGGTCCGCGCGGGCCTGCGAAGAGTGTGTGTGTGTGTGTGTGTGTGTTGAAGTGTAGTTGCTGTCGCTGTTCTAAGGATCGGGGGTGGACAGAACCCCCCGCTTGACACGCCAACTGGTGAATTGTCCGTTTTCGGTTCTCGCGAGGGCGCCGCGGCCGTCGTCTTCCAGGCTTGTGCCCGCCAGGCTTGGGCCCGAGGCCCTTGCCACGAAGCCGAACAAATAGCCCCCAGTCCCCCGAAAAAAACTGCCAATAAAGGCTCAAAAAATAGTCCCCATATTATTTCTGTATCATTTTTGGGGTATTTTTTACTCGTCGGAAATCCCCCTGTAGGGGGACATGCCCGACTTAACCTCAGCTTGCCCTCCAGTTCCAGTGCGGGGGGGGTCGGGGAACGTTGAAAAAACGCGTGGAGCCCGTACCCCCCACAACCCGAAATTCGGGTCCAGTTCGGGTCTTCGGGTTGGGTTGGGGCGGGCTGGTAGGCAGTCATCGAACAGTTGAGAGCGGACAGCCAGCCAACGCTCCCCGCGTTGTCCGCATCCGATGAGTCCAGGGGGCCCAGGGTTGGGTGGACGGCCGGCCGAGAATTCCAACCAGCAGACGGGGGAACAAAAACGCCGATAATATCGGGGTGGACAGGCCTCCTACCCTGACACGTCCTGGGCGTCGCGGCCGTCAGTTTTGCGGGTCCCAGGTACGTCGGCTTCGGTCCCAGGCCGTTTTTCACTGAAGGGTGGTTTACTAAAGGGAGGCTTGTCCACCGCCGATATGAAGGAAGAGAGAGAGAGAGAGAGAGCAAACGCGACCAAAAAAACGCCCCCAGCGTGCTCGGCATCGGGGGCCCAGGTCTGGGGGGGACCGCCGGTCGGGGCTCGCGGGTTTCTTGGGGGGCCTTGGCGCGCCATTCCGGGGGGCTCCGCGGAGGTTCCCCGCCGCCACGGCCCAGCGCTCCCCGGGGATCCTGGTCGGGGCGTGCACCCCCGGACGGGTCCAGGATCAAGTTGGGCGGGCCCCTCGACAGGAGGAGTGTTCAGAGTAGCCAAACTTTGTCGGGGACGATGTTTCGTGCTCTTCTGACTACTGTTATGTGTTTGACTATCTGTCGCAGTGGGGGCGCGCATCAAGAAGCCAGATGCCTTCCGTCAGGGTATCCTGGGTCTCTTCGCCCCGCGCGCTGCGCGGCGACTTCCCGCGGCCGTTGAAGGAGCTGCTGCGTTCAGAGTGCTCCAGGCTTCCCCTCTGGTGCACTTCGCGCGCGGGTTTTCAGGGTTGGGTTTCCTGCGAGGGTTTCTTGCGGCCGCGCTCGCACCGTTCTGTCTCTCCCGCAATCCGCCTGTGGGAGGACACGCCGTGCCCGACCTCGGTCCAGAAGTCGGGGAGGAGACTCGAGGATCGAGGCGGGGGTCCGAGGCTCCGCTCCGTGGACGCGTCTTGCTCCCTGCACCGCCAGTAAGCGTGCGGCCTCCGACGGCTCTCGCGCGGACGGCTCGCGACGGCGCGGGGGCCTCCCCCGCCCCCCCCGGCGTGCCGAGGCGCTGGGCCCGCCTGAGGCTTCTGTCTTCAGGAGGGGAAAAAACACACTGGCACAATGAATCGTCGATCCCCACGAAAATAGGGGAAACTATGGGGACTTGGGCGGGACGACGAAGACCCAGAGAGAGTGTGGGGAAATTATGGGGGATCTTTTTATTCGTGTGTATTTATTTGTGTGTCCCAGGGCCCTTTCATGTTTGCCTTCTTCGGCCCCCGGGGCGGCCGCTCCCGGGCCTCGGGACCGGCTGCTACGGCTCCGGGGGGTGAAGATTTGCACCAGGTGGCGGGGCGGGACCCAAACGGTGTTTGGGCGACGTCGTGGGCGGTTCTCATCTCGACTTCGCTTTGCGGTAGAGGTGGATTGGAGACAAAAGGAGGGAAAGCGAAAGCAACACGAGCACGAAAAACACCATTTAGGTTCAGCCCTGCCACATGGGCTTTGGGAGGGGTCGGAGGCCAATGTTGTTGGAACGAAGTTGCCCTTATAGTTTCCTTCTCCTTGACCGATGCTCCGGGACCCCGTCCCGTTCGGACCCCCAGGCCGCCTCCATCAGCGCCAGCGGGGCGGTCCGGAGCGAAGGGCGTTTCGTGTTGTGGCGAGGCGGTCCGTGGGCGGAGCGGGGCCCATTTGCAGGCGTCCTTCGTGTGTATCCTACGAGGTGCGAACACGCAGATGACGGCAGTCTAATGGAGAGGAGGCAACAGGTACCCATACCGCCAGCTCCTTATTGCCCGTTTTCCCTTTTGGGGGCCTCCGGGGAGGCCCTCATCGCCACCGCTGGATTCGCCTGGAAATTCCGGCCAGAACGCACCCTGGGAGAGGTCTAATTAGGGAGCAGCGATACCGAGAGCTCGTGATTTCCCCATGTATGCGTGGGAAGAGATGAGGACAAGGACGAGGATCGAGTGTCGAAGAGCAAACATCTACATGAGCAGACCCTTCGAGAGGTCTGCGGGGATCTCTTGCATCAGCGCTGGACCCTTTGCCCCAGCGCGCGGCGGCAACGCCGGGGGGTCCACCGCCGACGAAGATATCCGCGCGGACCTCCGAAGAGCGTATGATTATGCCGATGTTGTTTCCAGAGGAGGGAGAGGGCGAGGAGGAGGAGGAGGAGGAGGAGGAGGAGGGAGGAGGAGGAGGAGGAGGAGAAGGAGGAGGATGTGAGGATGATGATAATGCTGCTGATGATGGTGATGATGATGAGGAGGAGGAGGAGGACGACGACGAAGATGATGATGATGATGATGATGATGATGATGAGGAGGATGATGATGAGGATGATGCTGATGATAATGATGGTGATGCTCATGATTATGGTGATGGTGGTGGTGATGATGATGATGGTGATGTTGATGATGATGCTGATGATGATGCTGATGCTGATGCTGCTGATGATGATGATGTTGCTGATGATGATGATGATGATTGATGATGATGCGATGATGCTGATGTTGATGATATGGATGATGATGATATAATGATGATGATGATGATGATGATTATGATGATGATGATGATGATGATGATTGATGATGAATGATGATGATGATGATGATGATGATGATGAGGAGGAGGAGGAGGAGGAGGAGGAGGAGGAGGAGGACGAGGAGGACGAGGAGGACGAGGAGGAGACGCCGAGTCTGGCAGGTTCGCGCGGGGTGGATACGGCGGCGACCCCAGCGCGGGCGTTCAAGGTTGAACTCCACCAGTTGCCCCGAATGGGCCAACGTCGAACAATCTGCGCGAGCGGACAGCCTTGATTGTTCAAGGTTGAACGGTCCAAGGAGTGTCAGAAACCAGCGCACAGGTCGTCACGGCACAAATTTTCCGTACGAGTAGAACACAACAGCAGAAACATACATTGAAATTGATTGCTGGAGGTCCGCCCTGATTTCTTTCATCGTCGCTGGGCCCCCCTCCCTGGCGCGCCGAGTGTGCCAGGGGCGGCGCCGGAGGCGCTGTCAGAGGGGCCAACCGCGGATCGAAAGAATCCGCGCGGACCTCCGAAGGGTTCCTCTTCGAGCGTGGCGCAGGTGGGCAAAGAGGAGGAGGACGACGACGGCGACAACGAGTGCGGCAGGTTCGTCACGACGCGAACTTGGTGTGCGAGGACAGCGTCAGAGCAACGTCGGAATCCAACGCTCCAGCCGCCACGACATGGACTTGCCGTACGACGACGAGGAGGTAAAGGAGGAGGAGGAGGAGGAGGAAGAGGAGGACGACGACGACGAGGGCAGCGACGAGGAGGGCGCACCGCGACGAGGACCCCCCCCCGAGCCCTTGCGCAGGCGAGGCCTGAGATGCACGGCGTCGGCTCCGGCGGCCTCTGACGTGGCTACCCGACAGCCGCCCGCGCCCGTGGGAAAGATTCGGGTCGGAGGAGAGGTCAACTACGCGCAAGGGTGACCTTTCGCCAGAGTGACCTCTGGTGCGGAGGGAGGGAGGAGGGAGGGAGGAGGGAGGGAGGGAGGGAGGGAGGGAGCGAGGAGGAGGACGAGGAGGAGGAGGAGGAGGAAAAGGAGGAGGAGGAAAAGGAGGAGGAGGAGGAGGAGGAGGAGCCCCCAGCACTGGCCTTCACGCTTGGATGTGGCGTCCCGCCCGGCTCCTTCAAGCCGCGTGCCATGGGTCATTCTTGCTCAGTGCCCCTCCTGCGTGTAGCCGCCGGAGAGGGGGACGGAAGGCGGGCAGGTACTCCGGATTCAATAATAAAGTAGGGCGGGGTCACATTTGGCGGGGGGGTCTGATTTGAGCTGTCTTGAAGGGTTCGGGGTGGTCTGGGCAAAGTGCCGCCCTTTCATGGATGGTCTGGGGGGGTCTAAAACTTCTGGTCTGGGAGGGTTGTGGCCCCCTCCCTTTTATTACGATGTCTGGAATATGGGACGCTTGCTGCATGCATCGAAGAAGGAAATGGCGGCTCAGAGTGGGGGGGCGGGCGCGGGTGGGGTCGCGGGCTGGGTCGCGGGCGGGGTCGCGGGTGTTGTGCGAGTGGGGCGCGGGGTGGGTCGTGCGTGGGTCGCGGGGTGGGCCGCACGAGAGGGCGACGACGACGACGACGACAACCAGAGGCAGTGTTTTGGCAGCTCGGCCATATCTTTCTTCACCGCCCAGCAGACCACCACACCCCAACCCGACGGCCCCGATGTGCACTCCATTTCCAGTGGGTGGGGGGCCTGAGGAGTAGCGATAGAACACATGAAGCCCGTACCCCCCCCCCCCCACACACACAACCCGAAATGCGGGTCTTCGGGTCGGGTTAACGGTTGAGGTAGTCTGGTTGGCACTAATTTCTGAGACACGATCTGCCGACAGTCCGCAAGGGTCTCCCGGTTGTCGGCGCTGTGGCCCGCTCCCCCAACCATTCGCTTCTCTCCACCCCCCTCTCCCCCCTCCTCCTCGTCCTCCTCCTCCTCCTCGTCCTCCTCCCCTCCTCCTCCTCCGCCTCCTCATCCTCCTTCTCCTCCTCCTGTTTATCCTCTTCCTCTCTTGCTCCTAGTCGGCGTTAGAGGCCCAGGCAATTTGAGCTCCGACGGGTGAGGATTTTCATTGAAACTCACTCACGACTTCCGCCCCATACATTCTCCATTCCCGGTCGGGCGGGCGAGAGGGAGTAGGGGGGGAGTGGGAACGGAGAGCAGAAATAATCCTTACAGCCACTCCGATACCGTACGTTTTGCGACATCTTCTCGCGTAGCAGGGTCGTAAGTTGGTGACGGCATTTTCTGGTGCCGCAAATTTCCACGTTTATGGAGGATTGGGGTGCGACCTTGAAAAAACGACAAGCCCAAAAAGCAGAACGGATGCGCCGTACCCATGCTCGGAAATGCCAGGTTGCCAGGATTGCAGTGTGCGAACAATTGGTTTATCAAGTACCGTCTCTAGACAGCACTTACCGGAGAGAAGATGGAACCCTGATTCTCGGAAGCAATTGGATGGATGGTGCCAATGAAGGACCTCGAAAACCATAGACGACTCAGAAACATGGAAACAGCCGCACCACGAGTTCGGCTCTGTAGCAAATGAGGAGTCAAAGCGATAGAGAAGACTATTGAAACAGCAAAGGGAACATATGACGCTGGAGATAGAAGATCAACTGCGGGAATGGAAACCACCCCGTTGGCCCAGCTCTGCATCTGTTTGCCCGTCATCGAGATACGTTGAGCAACGAAAGCCAGAGGGAAGATGGAGACCCCGATGTTCGGAGGCCATTGGCTTTCGCCGGTGATGAACGTCGAAAACCCATGACCGCTCCGCTGGAGGGCAACAGTGATAGGCCGCTGCAGTGCAGACCAAAGCAGGCGACAAAGAAGGACGATGGAGGCCCCGAGGTTCGGAGGTCATTGGCATCTGCCGATGAAGGACCGAACCCATGGACTCCCGAGGGGAAACGGACGAGAAGGATATCTGGAAAGATGGAGGCCATTCCAAATTTCTGGAAGGGCTGACCCAGGAGATCGACACGTTTGTTCGCCGCCGGATCGAGAACGTCTGGGAAGGTGGGGGCCCCGAGGTTCAGAGGCCACCGACTGTTGCCGATGACGAAATTCGAGAACCCATGCTCCTCAATGGCGACCCTGAGATCGCAACGCTTCTGTCATAGAAAAGGGGACACGGCAGCGCCACGGATGAATTGCGGACGGCATTTTGGACATCATTTGGAACCAGATTGGCCAGTGTGCTTCTGCGATCAAATAACGGCGCAAATTGATTTCCAGCGGCGCAGTGCGCACTTTGGCACAAACGGAATTTGCTCTTTCGGGATTTGAAAGTGTTGGTTGAGTTCTCGCCACTGTGGGAGACAGATACGCAACTGCTACCCCGCGAAGATTACGCTCTTTGAGAATGGTAAAGTCTCGCCCTCGTTCAATCTTCTGCGTGCGCCGCATGTATCCCCAGATTTTTTGGGATAAGTGGAGCCCGTTTCTATATTGCTTGGGGCATGACGGGCGTCATGGCCCCGGCCCCCCCCCCTATGACGTAACGCTCCCCCCCCCAGTGCGCTCCGGGCACTGCCGCCATGCGCATTGGGATCCGCGTAGGTGTCCGCGTAGGAGTCCGCATAGGTGTCTGGTCCGCAGGCGTCGTCGTCGTCGTCGTCTTCTTCCGTCGTCGTCGCTCGTGGTTCGTCGCTCGTCGCTCATCGTCGTCGTGCGCGCGGACGCGGCTGGAATCTGTTTTTAAGTCCGGGCCGATGACGGCAACCATCGGGGGGGGAGGGGGTCGATGACGCCACGTTTCGCGCCGGCGGCTCCTGGGAATGCTTAAGAATGACGGAGGTAGCACGAACATGTTGGTGGCGATATGCACCACAACGCCTGTGTACATCACACTGCCCGCGTGCACCACAGCGCCTGTGTACACCACACCACCGATTTACACCACAGCAGCCGCGTGCAACACAGCGTCAGTTTGTGCCACCGTGCCTGCGGGCACAGCAGCTCCTGTGTACACCACAGCGCCTCCGTACACCATCCAGCCGCGCGCAACACAACACCAGTGTACACCACAATGCCCGCGTGCATTGCAGTGTTTGTGTACGCCACGGCGCCTGTGTGCAACACATCAGCCGTGCGCAACACAGCACCATTGTTGGGTGTAGAATTTCAGAGGGAATCCTTGTGACAAAATGGACCGCGTGTGGATTCCAGAGAAAACCATGGAAAACAAATCCTCATGGGCTAGGAGGCGCCGCTGGAATCTACGAGTCCCCCCGAGTCCGCCCGCATCACCCTAACTCCCACTTGCGTCCAGGAGGCTCCAGCCAAACTGGCCGTCGGAGAACCAAGTGGACCGATTCAATCGACCATTCTGCGGTGCACGTTGAGATGCGCACGTGCATTGCAACGCCAAGCCGCACGACAGGGGGTAAGAAGGAGGAAGAGGAAGAAAAAGAGGAGGAGGAAGAGGAGTATGAGGATGAGGAGGAGGAACAGGAGGAGAGGAGGAGGTGGAGGAGGAGGGAGGAGGGAAAGACGATTCTCTGAACTTTCCTGGCGTGGCGTTTAGTTGTCCGCAGCAGATCCTGACGTACATGCTCCATCTACCTGTCCTATGCACGCAGGCACTGTGGTGTACACCAGCGCTGCGTTGCACGCGGATGCTGTGGTGTAGACAGGCGTTGTGGCGTGCACGGGCGCTGCGGTGCACGCAAGCACTGTGGTGTACACAGGCGTTGTGTTGCACATGGCTGCTGCGGTGTATGTTCACCAGCGCTGTAGTGCTCCCAAGTATTGTGGTATACGCGGGCGTTGCGTTGCACACGGCTGTTGCGATGTACGCAGGCGTTGTGGTGCACACGCGCGGCGTGGTGCACGCGAGCGTTGTGGTGTACACACGCGCAATGGGCAGATCGCCACTTACATGCTGCTCGCGTTGTCGTCGTCGCTCGTCGTTCGTCGCTCGTCGCGTCGTGCGCGCGGGCGCGGCTGTGGTGCCGGAGCCACACGGCGGGGGGGGGGCGTCACGTCATACCCCCCCCCGCCCCCCCCCCCATGACGCTCGTCATCGCCTAACATAAAGAAACACGCTGGTGTGACCTTGCAGGGAGCGGCAAGAGCGGAAGTATAGCATTCCTCAACGTGCTTGGCGCGGGAAGCGGAATCTGAACGCGGTTGGCGCGGGAAGCATTTGTCGCGGCGTAGTGAATGGAGATCACAGAGGACATCTCGGAGTGCTGAAGCTTCTGTGGAGGTGCGGTGGAGGGGGAGGGGGGGGCGTCCCCGAATGCAGGAGCTCAGTCTCACAAAATATACGGGGGCTCAGGGACCCCCCATTACTTGGGAACCCTGTTCGTCAGCGCGTCCCCCAGAGGGGGCACGCGAAAAAGCCAGCAGCTGTTCCCTTGGCGCTGACCCGTAGTGACTCGTCTGATTCATCGAGCCTCCCTTATGGGGCCACTTCTGCGCTCGCCCCCTTGAGCTCTGGGGTATGCCCCCTGCCTGCCCCTATGAGAATCTTGGGGTTGCGGCGTAATCTAATCGCGGGGGATATTGCTAGTTGCGCGCGAAGCTCCTTTGCCGGCGTTGAAGTCGACCCCTTTTTATGCGGATGACCATGACCATGACCTCCTCCTCCTTTTCTTCCTCCTCCTCCTCCTCCTCCTCCTCCTCTTCCTCCTCCTCCTCCTCCTCCTACTCCCCCCCATCCTCCCCCCCGCCCCGTCCCACCCCCTGGGCGCCCTCTCCGAGGCGGGCGGGCCGGCTCTGCGCAGGGCGGCCTCTGGCGCCCTCCTGCCGTCCGCCTGCCCCCCCCCAGATTGTCCTCGTGCCCACTTCCTCGGCCTGTAGTGCAGTGATGGGAGGATCGGCGTGGGAGGGCCAAGCCTACCTTCTTCCAGAGAAGACCAACATTTGGAGCCGATGTGGAATACCGAAATCACGTCTTAGTCAAACGCGTCTAGGGACACACTGGGTGCCGTGGCGTCCATAGACACCTTTCGGGGAGGAGAGACGAAGGATGGGTAACCTTCCCAAGGGTACCCTTGCATCCTTGCCTCCTCGGCCCATCCTTGGTCATTTTCGTTGGCCGCGCGCCCGAGAGGCTTCGAAATGGGCGTCCAAGGCCCCTGCATCCTCATCGCGCATCTTCCTGCTACGGGTGGACTGCATCTTATCTTACGTCTCGGCGCTGGAAGGGGTGGTCGAGCTCGCGCACGACGAAAAGTCGAAGCAAAAGCAGCGGCAAAAACATCGATTTTCGGAGCTGCGCGCGGACTTTTCGGATCGGCGCCGGGCGCCCCTAGCGGTGCCTGTGGCGCCGCGCGCCATGGAGGGGGGGGGCTGGACCTCAACGCCTTTTTGCTGGACTTCGGCAGTGTTTTATTCTTCGTTTTGGCAGGGAGGTACAGGAGACCAGGTAAAGCAGAACGAACAACACAACGAACACAGCACGAACAACAACGTTTAGGTCCAGCCCCGGAGGGGAGTCCAGCGCCGATCCAAGAAGGCAGTGCGGAGCTCCAGAAGCGTACGTCCGTCAGCCGCTTCTCCCCTCCCCTGAAAAAATGAGCTCGAGGAGGCTGGCCCCTCCCCAATGGCGCCTCCGACGCCGCGGTCAGGCTGTTCCATGGCGTGGGCCTCGGGAACGGGCGCACATACCCTACCAGTGGCGGGCTGTTTCTGTTCGGTCCCCAGACTTCTCGAGGGTCGGGGGCGACGTCGGGTGGCGTGGTGTATATGTTCTTGCCCGTCTTTCCGAGGAAGCAGCGAAGCATGTGTACACCAGGATCCCATACCCATACAGTCAACCCGCATAGTAAGGATGCGCAATCTTCCCAAGGGTACCCTTGCATCCTTGCCCCTTCGGCCCACCCTTGGCGACTCTCGCTGGCCAGCCTCGTCCGAAAAGCGCCAGCGTGGCTCTCCAAGGCCCGTGCATCCTTCCTGCGAATCCTTCCTATACGGGTTGACTGTACACACCAGGATCCGCTCTCCCGTGCTTGACATCTAGATGTCGGTGCAGGGGCCGGAAAAAAGGGCGTCGGCGCACAGAGTCGGGCTCCTTACAGCAAGAGCTCCTCTTGCCCCGTCGTGGGGGCGTGCGCTTTTTTTATATTATTTTTTGAGGGCCCTGCTCCGAGGGATCGGCAGGGCCCGCCTCCCAACCCCCCCAACGCACCAGTGGCCTGAGCTGCTTTGGGGTCGTCGTTGGGGTCGTCGTTGCTTTCCCCTCAGCCTCGTCTTCTTTCCTCTCCCCCCCTCTTCCTCTGAGGATAGGCCCCCGCAAGACAACTACCTCTGGAAGGGCCGCGCACGAGACAAAAGAAACGCACCAGTGGCCACGAGCTGCGCCCAGCCGTGGCGACGAAGAGGCCCCCCCAAAAAGGCCAGCTGGCGTTGACTGCCCCAACTCTCACAGGAGCACGAGGTCATGATAATGATGCGTGCCAGGGCGTCCAAGGCTTCCAGGATTTCCCATGTTCCTAATGTGTCGCACTGGCTGCGCCGCTAGATCTTCTGGAAGTTCTGGAACGCATCCCGAGCCAATCTTATCATGACAGCATTCTCGCCCTAGCAATCGCCTCAGAAAGATTATCTCCGAACGCCTCCACACACGCCCATGCTGATCCACAGCGTGTTGGGAATGTCCACGCCAATGCCGGCCGCCATTTTGAAGCGCAGTCGTGTTACATTCGGGCTACAATGGGTATTCACGACTCCGTGCCATCACTTCGGTTCGTACACGCCCACCACGACGCGTGTTAATTAACCAGTCAATGTCGAAGAAAACCTGACACATCCCAGTGTGTGTTGGGACCGCATGGCGGCCATAATGGATGCTTACCAACGAGGGAGAAAGCAGGCAAATATTGAGGACGCTTTGGGAACTATTGAGGACGCTTTGAGCGATACTGAGCCGAAACCATGCCAAAAGAGGGCCAAGCCAGGCAAATGTTGAGGACGTCTCGGGCGAACTCAGGCCCAAACCGGGCCAAACCGGGGCGAAGCCAATCACATGCTGTGGACGTCTCAAGCGAAACCGGACCCAAACCAGGACAAACGATGTCCAAACCAAGCTTGTTGAGGACGCATCGGGCGCAACCGGGCCCAGGCCAGACCCAAACAGGGGCCAGACCCAGCAGATTCTGGGATGTCTCGGGCGGGACGCGCGGGGCAGACTGCGAGAGCGTCCCGCGCAGAATCGCGGCACTCGAGTGATCTACGGAAGGGAGTCGGCCACCCCGCCGCCGGCCCCCCCGGCGGAAAAAAACCGCTTCGAGTCTCCTGCGGAGGGCGGCCTCTGAGCCGCGCGCCCGCTGCTGCGGGCGGGGCTGGGCGCCGAACCTTCCGCTGTGCCGTCGGGGGCCGTCGGGGGCCGCGGCGCGGCGGCCTGCAGGAGAAGGATCTCGCGAGAGCCCTGCGGCCGGGTGCCGCCGGCGCGGAGGGCGGGGCCTCCAGCGCGGGCCCCCCGTCGGCGCCGCCCGTCGGGGCCCTCCGGACCCCAGGGGGGGGGGGGAGGGCTGGAGGGCCTGGAGACTGGACTGGAGAAGGGGCTGGATGGCCTGGAGACTGGAGTGGATGGCCCGGCGAAGGGGCCTGGATGGGGAAGCTGGATCGGGGGCGGAGAAGAAGGGGGTGATGGCGGGGGCCATGATATTTCCCCAGATCTCATGGCGCCTCTTTTTATTTCATTACGTCCCTGGCCTCCCCGCTGGTCCGCGCACGTGCCGCCGGTCATGATTTGCACCCCCCCCTCTTGGACGCCCCCCTCTTGGCCGCTCCCGACTGGAGACTGGACACTGGCTTGGCCTGCCTCCACAGAGGCAGGTCCCGAGAGAACAGGGGGGCACGCCTTTTGGTGTCCCAGCCACGCGCGCGGCGGAGCATCGTGCCGGACGAACGGGGGGGATAGGGAAAGGACGGGGGGGTGCGAAGTCTGCTGCGTGCAGCCAGTTTCGGCCCCGCCGCCGGGCCCATGACTCGATGCACGACGACAGGGGGGGATAGGGAAAGGAGGGGGGATGCGAAGTCTGCTGCGTGAAGCCGGTTTCAGCCCCGCCGCCGGGCCCATTCCTCGATTGCACGGCCGCCTCCGGCGCGGGAACATCAGCTGCGCGAGCGGATTCTCAGACCTCCCTTTGCTATCCCCCCCTTTCGCCCTGCCCCGTATTCGTAAGTCGGGCCTGTCCCTCTACAGGAGGAAAATGCCAAACTAGTCACAAAAAAATATGGGGACGACTTTTGGGGCATTTTTGAGCCATTTTGGTGTAGTTTTCATCTTTTTGGGGGGGGGGGCAAAATCCCCCCGTGGGGGGACACGCCCGGCTTAACGGTGTTCCGACCGGGGAGACCCCGAGACCCCCCCGCCCCACGGCACGCGGAGCCTCCCCCTCCCGTTGGCGACCGACCCCCCCCCCCCGAGAGGGCGTGGGGTCCCCTCGGCCCCCGTGTCCACAACAGGGGTGAGCCCGCCCCGCAGAGCCGCCCGCTGCGCCAGAGGTGCACGGACCCGGGACACGCCCTCCCCTGAAGTCGGGCACGTCCCCCTACAGGAGGAATCTTCAAAGGTAGTCCAAAAATAGGCTGGGGACGATGGTTTGACCATTTTTGAGACTATTGCTTACTTATCCTCCAAAATTTCCCTGTAGGGGGACAGGCCCGACCTAACCCTATCCCCCCCCCACGGTTGATGGACAAAATCCTGTACACCGCACTCACATCTATACCCCTGGGTGGGTGTATGTGCGGCCGTTTTTGCGCTGTCATGTGCGCGCATGTGCGCGGCATGTGCCAGTCATGTGCCAGGCCTGTGCGGTCCTTCTTGGATGGACTTCCTACTGTGCACGTCGTGCCCGGGCATGTGCGGGGGCATGTGCGCTGTGTTTTGATGTATCCATCATACGCACATGCACGCACAGTCCGACGCACATGCGCGCACATGCCTGCAAATGCGGGAGGTGTTCGAGAATCGCAGATCTGTCATCGGCACATGCACGCACATGCCTGTGCAACCTCTCTTCGGGAGGCCGCGCGGGCCCGCACATGCACGCACATGCGGTGAAGCGTGCGGGCGCACATGCGTGCACATCCCAATGCACATGCACGCTCATGCCCTAGGAGCTGTCTGGGACCCCTGTGCCTCGGGTTTCCTGAAAGAGTTTGTTGTGCGTTTAGACTCGCCCGCTGCTGGCGGGGGCGGTTATTCGCCCGGTTCGTGAGCTGGCGGTGGCGCGCCCGCCTAACAAAATACTCTCCCGCGCGCCTTCTCAGCTCGGCCGGAGAAGCATGGATGGGGGGGGGAGGTGGAGGGGGGGGGGAGGAGGGGGGGGGCGGAGGAGGCGGGCGCCCCCGGCCACTGGCCAGCCTGCCTGTTCGGCTCGGCCAGAGGAGAAGGAGGAGGAGGAGGAGGAGGAGGAGGAGGAGGAGGATGAGGAGGATGAGGAGGAGGAGGAGGAGGAGGAGGAGGAGGAGGAGGAGGAGGAGAAGGTGAGAGTTGCCAGGCTGTCTCAGGCGATAGTGGCTTGACGGCCCGAGCTCAGGGAATCTCGGAATCGCTGGCCTGGCTCGGCCACCGGCGAGCTCGGCCTGTGCGAATACTGTGCGTACCTGTGCAGTGCATGTGCGGGACGTGCAAGAATGCCGGGGCCGGCGTTCGTCTCCGGACGCCGGCGCGTTCGCGTCCGGCCAGTTCCGCGTGAGACGTCGTCGGCAATTTGGAGGCCGACGTGCTTTGACATGAAGTGATCTGGCCACCTTCGCCTGAGACATCCTCGCAACTCTGGTCTCGGAGATGCCCTGCCCCATGGTGGCCCGGCCACTTTCGCTTGAGACATCCTCGGGACTCTGGGTTTCGAGACGCCCTGAGCTGAGGTGGTTAGACCACTTTCGCATGAGACATCCTCGCAACTCTGACCTCAGAGATCTCCTGCCCCATGCTGGTCAGGCCACGGTCGCCTGAGACATCCTCGCAAGTCTCGATTCCGATATGCCCCGAGCTGAGGTGGTCAGCCACTGTCGCCTGAGACATCCTCGCAACCCTGATCTCAATGATGCCCTGCTCGATAGTGTCTCGGCCCCTTTCGCCTGAGACATCCTCGGAACTCTGGGTTCCGAGACGCCCTGAGTTGAGGTGGTTAGACCACTTTCGCTTTAGACATCCTCGCCCGCGATGCCCTGAGTTGAGCTGTTCAGGCCACTTTTGCCCGAGACATCCTCGCAACTCTGACCTCAATGATGCCCTGCTCCATAGTGTCTCGGCCTTTTTCGCTTGAGACCCTCGCAACTCTGGGTTCTGAGATGCCCTGAGCAGGTGGTCAGGCCAGTCCTGCCTGAGACATCCTCGCAACTCTGGGCTCCGAGATGCCCTGGGCTGAGGTGGTCAGACCACTCTCCCCAGAGACATCCTCGCAACTCTGACCTCAGAGATCTCCTGCCCCATGGTGGTCAGGCCACTTTCGCTTGAGACATCCTCACAACTCAGACCTCGGAGGTGTCCTGCCCCATGGTCGTCTGGTCACCTTGACCAGCGACATCCTCGCCACTCTGGTTTCCAAGATGCCCTGCCCCATGGTGATCCGGCCACGCTTGCCTGAGACATCCTCGGAACTCTGGGTTGCGAAATGCCCCGAGCTCAGGTGGTCAGGCCACTATCGCCTGCGACATCTCTGCGGCATGTGCGGGCATGTGCGTCTATGCTTTCAGAGTTTTGCTTGACCGTACATTCGACTGTGCGTCGGACGGTGTGGCATGTGCGCGCATGTGCGGCAATGCTGTTGAGGCTTTTGTATATTTGCATGGGCATGTGCATGCGACTGTGCGGCATGTGCCTGCATGTGCGGCCCCTTCCGGACCACAATTTCAAAGTGAGCACTATAGAAGTGAGCGCTATAGAAGTGAGTCCGGTGTACCAGCCGCGCAGCCGGGGCGACGGCGCAAACTTCCACGCGCCCCCCTGCCCCCGATTCAATGCTGATTGGCTGCGCCCGCGGGGTGCAGGATTTAGGCCAGTCGGCGGATCGACAAATCGCGCCACGGCATGCCAATATTAAATTGGGGGCGCGGGGGGCGAAAACAAAAATCCCCCAAAAGTGAAGGATTTTGTGCATCAACCGTACCCCCACCCCTCAGGGATGTGAAAGAGGGGGGGGATCGACTGGACTACGACGTGTTTTTCCGTGTTCGTTCCTTTTCCCCTTGGGACTGGCGACGACGACGACGACGACGACGACGACGAAGACGAAAAAGACGACAGCGTCTCACACACGCCGCAGGGTCGGCGGACTTCAGAGCCTGATGAGCCTCGGAAAGGGTTTCTCCGAACGCCGCCGCATACGCCCATGCTGATCCACAGCGTGTTGGGAATGTCCGCGCCAACGCCCGCCATTTTGAAACGCAGTCGTCACGACACCTTTCCATTACTTCGGTTCGTACATGCCCACCACGACGCGTATTAATTCACTCTTGATTCAATGTCGAAGACAATGTGACACATGACATTGTGTGTTGGGACCGCATGGCAGCCATAATGGATTCTACCAAACGAGGGAGCAAGCAGGCAAATACTGAAGACGTGTCAGGCGAAACTGGGCCGAAACCGCGGCAGAACAGGGTCAAGCCGGGCACTTTGTGAAGACGTCTCAGGCCACACCAGGGCGAAACCAGGCAACTGCCGACGACGTCTCAAACAACATCGGGCCGAAACAAATGTCCAAACCCAGTAAATGTTGGGGACGTGTCGGGCCTGACCGGGGCCAGGCCAGGCACAAATCTTGAGGCTGTGTCGCGCGGGGCGCGCGGCCAAACCGAGCCCAGCCGTGCGCCTGCTGCTGCGGACGGGGTTGGGTGCAGAGGCCTTCATGTCTGTATTAGGTGGGGGCCCCAAGAATATATACACCACCACCACGTCGATTCCTCCTCCCTTCTCGACCGTCCTCTTCCTCTCCTCTTTCCTGGGAGAGGGAGGGGGTGAGGGAGGTGGTGGTGGTGTATATTGTTAGGCCCCCCATTAGGTCGAGCGTGTCCTCCTGCAGGCGGATTTCGGTCGACAATTAAAAGATACCCCACAAATCTTCAACAATGATCAAGAGTAGCAGAACCATCGTCCCCCGACCATCTTTTGACTCTTTTTGGATATCCCTCCTGCAGAGGGACAGGCCCGACTGAATGTTTGCACCAGGTGTTGCTGGGGCTGCGGTGTGGCGTACGGAAGAATACCTCGAGCCTGTAGCGCGCTGTCCCAGCTCTCCCTCCACGGAGGCCCCCGCGGGGGTGTACGGTCGGAGCGCTGAAGAAGGACACCTTCTCGTTTGGGAGGGACTCGGTGTTCCTTGCTTGTTGTGCCATTTGCCTAGAAGGTTTCCCCAAGGTTTTCCATGGGAGATCGAAGTCCGACTTTGGGGACAACGGGGCCTCGTTCCTCGCGTAGGGTCC